ATATATGTATATATATATATATATACATATATATATAAAGATAAATGGTGTAGTGATGCATAAAGGGCGAACAAACATACAAGCACACCCACACACATATTTTCATATATATATATATATATATATATATATATATATATATATATATATATATATATATATATATATATATATATATATATATATATATATATATATATATATATATATATATATATATATATATATATATATAAGAAATTTGCTAACTTAACATGTTTTCTGTTATTTTTCAGCAATTGATGTAGAGAAAAAATATTATGATCCAAAAACAATTTTTATAATAATTGTAACGTGTGCGGCGGCTGCTATTGTTATGTTCATTATTCTTATGATCTTCTTCAGCTACCGATGTAAAGGTAAAAAAAAGAATGTTTTCCAAAGAACAACAAGTCTATTTTAATAATATTTTTAAAATTTAAAATTTGTTCTATAATTTACCTACTTTAACAAATCATTTTTTTTTTAAATCTATACGAAATGAAATATACCTAGCTTGAGTAGCATATTCGTTTACTAATAGTATATTTTGTGTACTTTATGAAAAAGAAGTGCCCTAATTAATATATTATTTGTACAATCTGAAGAGCCAATCCTGAAGAGTAACACGAAAGAACACGTCTACGAAACAATATCGGAAAATGCGAATTGTGGACAACAGTTGTGTGTACAAGAAATGGATTCCCTATATCGCAACACTTAATATGTGTGCTATAGTTTTAAATGTGTGATATGACACTGATATGTAGAAATGCAGAAATATATATTCGCTCAGCACATTATAATTTAGGGAAAACTTAAATGTATAGAATATTTTGTACTTTAAATGTGAAATAAATTTAAAAAAAAAATAATTATGAAATTATCTTAAAACTTAATTTGTACTTTTAAAAGCAAACAATATATATATATATATATATATATATATATATATATATATATATATATATATATATATATATATATATATATATATATATATATATATATATATATATACATATATATATATAAAAGAATTGCTTAATAAGATAAAGAGGGGGTGGGGGGAGTGGATATTAGTATACATCAAGAAAGTCTCAAGCAAAATAGCATAAAATTGACCAATTTCTGCAAACTTGTGGCCAATGAGACTCGATATATTATAAAATATGTTGATAGCAATCCGCTTTTTACGAAAACTGGAATATATTTCAAATTTTGTCTGTATTTATGTAGTCCGGTCAAGGCGCATTATCGGTCTACGGGTGTAGGGCAAAAGGCCGACATCAAAAATGCCGACTGGACAATTGGCCGACAGTGTGGAACACCACACTTCACCACGCTTCACCACACCCAACAAAACTGCTGGGGTACAACTCACAGTCAGAGCCGGCGTTAGGGGGTGGCGAACGGGGCGGTCGCCATAGTCCCCACGCTTGAAGGGGCCCCGCGCTTCAGCAATGTCATTGTTATCTGAATTAGTTCGTAAACTTAAAAAAATTGTTTCTGAATTCAAATGGGAAAAACTAAATGGTCGAAAGCCGACGTTGTTGATTGTTATAACTGAGGCCACGGTTTATGTTGGTGAGTCTCACCTGAACTGGGACAGGCCGTAATTCGATACAAAAATAGTGTCACACCTCCCTTTGAGTAGGGTACGGTCGCCTGGCATTTGACCTGAGCTGACTGGAGATGGCGGTCGAGAATTAGCCCACGACGTAAAGAGATACCCTATTGTATACGGACCGATGAAGACTTCCTTTTAGTGAGCAGACGGGATGTCTATAGTAGACAGTTAGTGACCCGATGAACTCTAGTCCTGACTTTCTTGTTGTAGATGTCGTATAATGTCGTATATGCACAGTGTTTCTTCCAGACTTTTTTTTCCGGGGGGGGGGGCACTTGAAATTTTCGGGGAGGGGGGGGCGGTAGACTTTCTTCTGGGGGGGGGGGGGGGGCGGACACTGTTAAAAGTATATATTTTCTCTATAAATTATATAAATTTCATTTGTTTTCGGGGGGGGGGGTGGCCTTGCCCCCCCCCCCCCCCCCGAAGAGATGCCTGGAAGAAACTCTATATGTAGGCCTACTTGTCTTGGTATAACAAAATTAACATTCAGTTGCGTGCAGAGGGGTGGGAGGAGGGCGACGAAAAGGGGGGGGGGGGCTTAGGATCTATATCAGGCGGCATTAAACAGAGTGATTTATTATTATTTTTTGGAAGAAAGTTAAAACTGTTGTTATGTTGTGTCACCTTAAGGATTCGCCCGTTCAATAATTAAGACAATAATGATTTTGGTTTTAAAATATTGTATGAATTCTAAACAAATTTTTTGAAGTCTATACTGTTTTGATTCATCAGGCCGAGTTCGCTGTATTGTAAACTTTATTTTCCTAATTATTCGGCACTTGATTAAATTTTCTTAAGTGATTTGGTATGAGTTACATAACTGTTAAAAGTGATTTAATATCTTAGCAAAGGAAAAAAAAAAACTACGAACATTGGGTTAATACATGGGAGAGATAAAAATCTGTTATTATAGTGGAAATTTTGACATTAGCTTTTAAACTCCAAAACATTTGTGTTATTATGTGTACATCACATTATATAGGCCTTTATACATACATATATATATATATATATATATATATATATATATATATATATATATATATATATATATATATATATATATATATATATATGTATATATATATATATATATATATCAGGGGCGTAGCGAGGGGGGGGGGGGGGCGGGGGGTGCGGACCGCACCGGGTGACACCATTTAGGGGGGTGACACCAAGGCAAAAAATAGCAAAATATATAGAGAAAAACTCGAGGGGGGGTGCAAATCGAAAACTCGACGGGGGGGGGGGGTGCAAATCGAAAGTTTGAAAGTTTGTCCCTGGGAAGGGTCTCTATGCCTCTGGGGGGGGGGGGGGTGACACCATTAAGTGCCGCACCGGGTGACACCCGACCTCGCTACGCCACTGATATATATATATATATATATATATATATATATATATATATATATATATATATATATATATATATATATATATATATAATGGAAAGGCCCCGCGCGGATGGTTGGCCCTAGGCCCCGCGTATTCTTAACGCCGGCTCTGCTCACAGTTTATAATTTATTAAGCTCGAAACACGCGCTAATTAAGAATTAAGATATACTTTCTCTCGAATGCTCCAGGTTCGTCAAAAAGGTAATTAGGTTATGAGCACATGTTTATAAACCCTCATTAAACCTATACACTTCATTTCACTTTGAAATGGACCTTTACCCGATTTTGCTTCCGCGTCACGTGATCCGGAGAGTCATTTTTAATAACCCATTACTAACTACACAACAACACGGTACAGGCAGCCATTTTGGAATGTGCTACATCATAAACAATGAAATCGAAAGTAGACGAATCAAAAAATCGATAGTTTACCAAAAATTGTTGGTCAGACGATTCATCATCTAAGAATGGTATTGATATGACTTCATTTTAGCAATCACAAGATTATTGGTTATTATTAGACCTATTGATACACATTTTGATGTTGCTAAATCTAACATTTTAACAAAGGCAGTGCCAGTGTCAGTTTACAAAACAAAGCCTTTCTTTGTAACAAAGCCGCAAAGCAAAGGTAAAGCCAAGGTAAAACGGTCTGTGATCAAATGCCCATGGCGAAGAAAGGACCAAAGAAGAAAGTGGTTTAAAATGTACTAATTTAATTAAATTCTAGACTCTAGGCCTAAAATCTAGATCAAGTCATTCTTAATCTAATAATCTTAATGATCTTAATCTCTGAGGATTCAGGGGTGGAGGAGGAACATAATTATTAATTAATATTAATTAATAAATTATCTGAACCATACTGAATGTGAATGACAATTTTAATTAATTTAGGTAATCTATCGTTTTAGGTAGCCTACGTAAAATCGCCCGCAACTTGTAATGTGAAAAACAGGTGACTCCTTAAATTTTAATAATTATTTCACATTTTGAGGAGGATTTATGTTTTTTCAAATACAAAAATGTTTCCTTGTTTCATTTAGGCCTATGTACCTGTTGTTTAACAATTGAATTAAAACTTTTCAGTAATAAATGAAGACTAGTGATGTTTCCAACAGATGCAACCATGCTCAATTACTATAGCAGCCATCTTGTTTAAGTTTTATTTTTATAAAGTTATAGCGCGAGATTCAGGGGGAAGCCACTCTATTTTACAAATGGCTGCTGTTTATATAGCAAATCTTGCTCACAGACACTGCTGTTTAAAGTTAATTTCTGGGCTATATTGATATATTTAACCATTGATTTAGGTTTATTATCTATTTATATATAATATTTGACACAAACATATCCCACTATACTTCTATTTAAGCCTTGACAATGAGGTAACGTTTTCGTACATTAATAGCTGCGGGTGATTTTACGTACCCAAAACGATAGATTACCTTAATTTATTATTAATGATGGCCGATACTAACCAGAAAAAGATATGCATGCGCAATGGAGAGAAACTACGACTTGCCTTCGCGGCGATGTTTTCGATGGTACTGCGCATGCGTGTGTTTACAACCGCAGAACCCTAACACCAACCCTAATCCTAACCCTAACCCTATCACCAACCCTATCCCCAACCCTAACCCTAATCCAAGCCCCAACCCTATCTCTAACCATAACCCTAGCCATAGGTCACTGCGCATGCGCAGAACTATCTTTTGCCGACTAGGTGGAGACGTTGGGGTGAAAAATCTTTTTCCGAGTAGTTTAATGATATCCTCAGAATCAGGTCAGGGTACTGAGTACTCTATGGAACGTTTGATAAAATCTGCCGAGACCATGTTAGTTGTAGAGTAGTGTGAAAAAAGGTGACTCATTATTATCAATTATTGTCATATAGGCCTAGCTTTAAAAAAAAAATATATTATGATATATTTTTGTCAAATGTTATGGATAATTGAATAATAAATCAAAATCAATTCCTAAATATATCAATATAGTCACTTTTATAGTGGAATAGGCCTATACGGTGAGTATACGCCAGAAATTAACTTTAAGCAGCAGTGTTTAAGCAGTTTAAGAGCAAGATTTCCTATGGGCTATACTATACTATAGTATATAATATATATGTAAATTAGTGTGGTTTTACCTGAATCTCTAACTAGATTTATAATTTTACCAAAAAACTTTTACTAATATGGCTGCTTAAAGTGCGACAACTAGAATTGATCTATTACACATTTTATTTAAATTCCAACAAGATCATCTGCTAAAGTAAATGTCCAATGAGCTTGGTTGCATTTAATGAAAACCACTAATTTTTAATTATTATTGAAAAGTTTAAATAAAATTGTTAAAAAATAAGTAGATCTATATGAATGAAACTTTGAAACATTTTTGTAATTTTAAAACATAAATCCTGCTAGAAATGTGAAATAATTACTAAAATTTAATTAATGAGTCACCTCTCTTTCATAATATATTTAAGTATGGCCAAGGCTATTCCCAGCCGGTTGGGAATATCTGTATTAATTATTTTGAAATAGGGGGCATACATTTAGTGTAAAAAGACAAGGCTGGTTCGAACCCGCACTTTCCAGCACAGCAGCCACCCACATTTCCACTCGACCATACAACAGCTTAATTTGGTGTTTTTAACATAAAATCTATTAAAAACAGTCACGACTGTGAATAGCCCTAATACGGCTAGGGAATAGATGCTTCGTTTAAATATTTAAATATATTATTATATTACTAATTACTATACTAGCGTCGAACGATTTTACATTCCTAAAACGATAGATTACCTCTATGGCTTTATCAGTACAGTATCATCACATTAAATTGGATTTAATGATTTAATTTAATTACTGATGTCCGACAATAGATTCCAAAAAATAAATAGGCCTAAACTAAGGTGTGTTAGGTTTTTAGTAGTATTGTAATGTTAAGTCTAGTTTTTTTTTTATGGTTAGAAATTAGGGCTGCCATACGTTTAGTCTATTTATTCATGACTTAGTTAAACACAAGTAACCTAAAACCCCTATTTCAAAAAGATTCCATCAGGCCTGATTATGCCTAGATCCATATAGTGTCACTATCAGTGAGTCAGTGATATAAATAAATAAAAAAATATCTAACTACTGATGACATACCCTGAAAGTCCTGAAAGATGAAAAAAATCCCATGAATAATCAGTTATTCAACATAAGTTTATTTTTTTTACAAATAATAATTTATAGGTTCTTCCTACATTTTTCTAATAGAAGAATAGAGAAATATAGGAAGTGCTATATGCTTTAGCAATTCATATATATATCCTCATAGGATTGTACTGTAGGTACCTATTTTTTGGCATCTGTAAGAGGCAAGATGACTTGTTTGAAGCCTTGTTCCAAAAGTGTAAAGTTACTTATAAACAAAAAAATTTTCAACCAAATTTCATTTAGACTAATATAGCCTGAAATGAAAAATGTCATTGAAAACAGATTTTTATCCAGAGTCTGTAGTATAACAGGATATGGAAATTTTACCTGATGGATACATAAACAGATACAAAAACAGAAATTTAACAAAATACAAAATTTCATGGAAATCAGCTTTTTTATCATTTATAAATTTAGCCGGATACAGAAATTATCCAGAGACTGAAATTTAAACCAAAATAAAACCTCTAACAGGGTTCCCACGGCCTCCTGAAATTTCAGGATGTCCTGGAATTCTCCTTGAATTGTAAAAATCCAGAAAACTCCTGGAATTCTCCTGGAATTTTAACATTACTCCTGAAATTTTGTAAAATGTCCTGAAATTTTACTCGCATGGATAATTTTAGCGCATATTTTTTTCGTGCGTTAGATCTCTAGGTAATCAGATCTGACCTCCCCCAGTAAAATGTTCTGCTTTGTCAATTCTGCACATACACAGCATATTTTTCAAATTATAAACCTATATATAGCTGTTTTTAACCTGTAGGTTTGGTTTAATTTTTTTTCTCACTTTTATGAGTGAGTGCTGCTCATTTTTTTTAATTAAAAATTTCAAGTAGGCCCAAATTTAGTTTTTGCCCAGCTAATTTGAAAGTATTTAAACATAGTCCGATAGGCCCTATATCTACTTTCTATTTACATGTGTGTTGTAATACTACTACCCTCCCATCCCTCATCAGTTTATTTCCCAAGACAGGGTGGAGGAAGCTGGGGGAAAGCACTGGTTGGGTATATGAAGTGAACTCTGTGTGACCCCCTAGTGATGTCATCAGCAGTATACTACAGGCCAACGGTAAGCTTAGATGAACTCAAACTGACCCTGTGCTACCCCCCCCCCCCGTGTCTAGCTGAGGGGGGGGGGGGTGGATATGCTACTGGCAATTTAAAAAAAAAAACAACAACTGAGGTTACTTTTCAGAAAACTATATTCTATTTTTGGCTGAAATGTTTTATATTTTCAAGTTTTATTTTCAAAGTACAGTTTATTTCTAGTAGGCTATATCTTGTTCATCAAATGGTAAAAAGCTAAAAATACAGTAGGCTATTTACTTTTGAAGATTTCCATTTAAATCATGATACAGATCCATTTTTAAAAGATAAATCATGGTTTCAGCAGTTCTGTTTGTTTATTATTATTGACATTGTTAGTACAGAGGCTGACATTAGTGAGATGGAGAGGGGTTTGGTCACTTGACAATGGGGTATTGCTATGATTGCTAGGCTTAATATGTTTCTCAGTAGTAGAGGGGGGGGGGGTGTTCAGTCGTTAAAACTTTAAATTATGTCCTGAAATTTTGGTTTTTCTCCTGGAAAAACTCCTGGAATTCTCCTGGAATTTTAAGTTTACTTTGGTGTAGGAACCCTAATAGTCCTAACCTCAACCACAATTCTAATACTTAATATATTATTTTTCGGTGTATCCGCATACACTTCTAAAATTAGACAAATAAATAAGGTGTATAATTTTTCCTCTCTATAAAAAATGAAGTCATTATTATTGTGTAACCTATACAGCTTTTGATTTTTAATTCTAATTTTTATCAAACAATTAATCGTGTCAATAGGTTTTGTGTACAGACACTAAATCTAGACACAACCACAAATACTTTAAATGGTAACCTTCGTCTACATGTAGTAAGTGCACATTTATACTAAATATAGTGCTACATCCTACCCCTAAGCCTTGCACCTTAGCTCACCCTAGACAAAGATTGCATAAGTAGATCACACATCTATAATCGAGACTCATTTTTCTACTATTGAGACTCATTTTTCTACTATTAAAAGACATTTTGTTTGATATTGCTAATTTCTAACTTTGCAAAAGTTTGCTGCACTTATATAACTATGCAGATGTAAGCTAGGTCTGTTTATCCAAAAAATAAAAACTTTAAAGTTTTAATATTAATTTGAAGGTAAGAGCTTAATAAGCGTCTGGAATAACACATATTAATAAGATTGAATTGAAGTGAATAATTTAAAGCTAAAAAACAACTTCAATACCTTTCTGTTCTTATGACCATCAGCATAGGTATATATATATATATATATATATATATATATATATATATATATATATATATATATATATATATATATATATATATATATATATATATATATATACGTACATGTTAGCTTACCAATCACTTGTTGTGATCTCTGAATAGGTACATTTAAGGACAATTTCAAGGATTATATTCATTTTTATCTAAACGTATTTATTAATTTCAATTTTAATACTAATTCTAAATATATTTATTACTTGGGGTGCATGTGGATATACACATGTTTTTTTTTCTGTCATGTGCGTAGAACTGTGCCAATAAATTTAAAGTTTTTCCAATTCGTTAGCTGGCAACATGCATTTGTCCATGGGAGAAATAAATTTAGTCCTACTTGCTAAACTGGCCCAACTGTTAGGAGGTTTTCCTTAAGATGTAAATAATGCCGGCACTGGATTTTTGGATCTTAGTTTTGGGATGCGAGTTTGTCCACACCCCCATTCACCTCTGGGTATGCTCTTTGAAAACCTTGAGGATATGTTGAAAATCCTCAACAAGGGTGGTGTAAAACATCCAAGTTACACTTCAACAGGAATGCCAAGTGTCACATATGGTTTTGTTTATAGTCATCAATTGCAGTAACTTAATGTATTCTGAGTGTAGAGCACTCTTTAAACTAATGTCAGCACCATAGTGCTCATGAGGGAACCTATGATACCCCAGGCCTCACAAAGTGCATTCTGACCACTAATTCAAGTAGTATCTCTGACCCCTTTGAATAGGATACTTAATTAGTCTTAAGATGGCCACTGAGAAACTTGAGCCTAACTGCACGCTACATCCATGGCATCATCCCTCTGATATTTAAATTTTTTAATGGCAGAAACATTATCTGGTGTGTACTCAACAACTTCCCAAAGTTTCATGGTGATCTGATTAATGGAATGTTTAAAACTTAGTGGTTTCAATTCATTATATATATATATATATATATATATATATATATATATATATATATATATATATGTGTGTGTGACCGAGTCTAATTGAATCATCCTGCCAGCAGCGCCAAATGTGACCCTGCTCGCAGCGCCAAATGTGACCGAGGCTAGTTGCATCTTCTGCTCGACAACGCCAAATGTAACGATGTCTATCTGCTTGTAGTGCCAAATGTTAACGATTGTATTTACTCATTCTACACAACATCGACCACAATATAGATACTCGAAGATGCAGGTTTACCATTGATCCTTTTATTACATGAATAAAAAAGAAATGCTTCACAATAATATAATGAGTCAACTGACCCCCACTGTCCTCACTAGTCTTCACATAACCGAATGCACATGTCTATCGTCCCTTATTAACACAATACGTCTACAACGTTCAGTAACCAACTTGATACTGCCACTGACTGATCCTCACTGATCATGTCTCTACAGTTCGGCTTCAGTTCTCAACTCTCGCCTTCCTATATATCCCCTTCGTATTCGTAATCGTATTCGGTTCTATCATAGTTATGTTCAATCCGAATATCTCGCCTTCCGATTACTACGCAGTTGTCTCATCAGTCCGATCAATAGAACACCTGCACTGTTACATCAGCCAAGTCGTGTCAAAGTTGACAGCGGCTTGTCGTATCCTTCCCAAAATACGCCGTGGCTTTATGATCGTTATCAGTTGGCTTATCAGTCCAACACCTGCACTATTGCGTTCTTAACAATAGTGACTAGTAACTAGGCCTACACTAGTTACATCCACCGCCGCCTTTTTTTTGTGTGTTTTCAACCACAAACAACGCTTGGTAGGTGCACTTCTTAAATGTCAATCGCACCATCGTAAAAAAATGTATTGTTCCATTCACTGTCAATGTCGTCACATTCGTAAAAGATTGACAGTTATCCCTATTTCACATATCAAATGTGTCTTCATCATATTCCTCAGACACAAAGCAGTTCTAGAATTCACATCCACCTTTTTTCGTTTGGTGCCTTCACCAGTTCACTTTTATAACTTTTTGAACAGTCTGTTCTCATACCAGCGCGACCATGAAAGAATTGATGGTTGCTGACGAAAAATTTCGTATTCTTTCTGTTTCTCAAACTTCTCCGCGGACCACTTATCTGATGGTCTACTGTCTCTCTGCTTCTGGGAGGAACGGGATCCTCTTTGTTGCCGTTATCCTCCACTTGTGTATCGCTGTTGTGCTGTTGATGGTGACCTGGTTCCGGGATGGGTATGTGAATTTCCGTTATAGTTTCCGGTTCCCTAATTGTCTTAGGTTTCCTTGTATGTAAATGCTCTTCTTGCCTATCCCAATATTTCTTTAATTGAGCAATATTCGCCCACCGATCCGGTTTGGTGTGATTGATGGGTCTTATCTTAAAGGGGCCACCTGCTACTTTAGGCATCTCCACGACTTGCCATATCTCCTGTCCCCAGAGGTCGTGGATTTTGTTTCTGCCTAACGGGTGGCTACGCAGTAATACCCTGTCGTTCAGTTTGAGTGGCGGGTCCTTTGTCTGTACCGGCGGTTCCCTTCGCCGTGCTTCATGTTCTAGTCTTTCCTGTACTACCCTGTACATTTCTCTAATTCGTCTCATATGTTCATTCACATATTCCAGTGCGGTGTATGAGCCAGTCATACTCTCCTTTTTTCCTAGGAACAAGTCAAGAGGGAGTCGAGCCTCCCGTCCGAACAGTAACATGTGTGGCGAAAAGCCGGTTGTGGCATGGGGGGTGCAGTTGTATAGATATACCAACTCTGGGAGAAAATCAGGCCAACGTTTTTTCTGTTCAGGTTCTAGCGTACGCAGCAAATGATGCATGCTGCGGTTGAACCGCTCGCACTGTCCGTTTCCTTTCGGATTAAATGTGGTTGTTCTAGATTTGTTGATCCCGTAGTGGCTGCACAGTTGGTTAATTACTTCTGACTCGAAGGCCCTTCCTTGGTCAGAGTGTAATTGTCTTGGTATGCCATATTTGATGAACCAATGTTCTATTAAGACCTTTGCCTCTGTTTTGGCAGTCTGATCTCGTGTGGGCACCGCCACAGTCCATTTGGTGAATACATCAGTCATTACCAACACATGTTCCGTCCCATCCGATGATTGCTCCAACGACGTAAAGTCCATAGCCACAATCTCTAGTGGTTTTGTCGCTAGTAGGTGTCCTGATGGCTGTCTCATTTTGACAACTGGCATTTTCGCATGCTGACACCTCACACAAACCTCACAATGGCGTTTGACCTCCATCTCCATATTGGGCCAGTAACACCTTCGTCGTAATATTTTGTGCGTCCTGTCCTGACCCTGGTGTCCTGCCCTGTCATGTGCCAACCTTAGCACTTCTTCTCGTAACTGTCCAGGCACCACCACCTGGTGTATTGTCCCATCTATTTGGTCATGAATTCTCCGCATGAGAACACCATCCTTTATACTGAGACGGTCCCACTGACTCAGTATTTTCTTTGTTTCTCGACCAAATTGTTCTCTTTCCCTTCTTCTTGGGAATTTTTGTTCCTGGACGTATTTCAATAGCGGCTGTAACCCGCTATCCGTTCTCTGGGCATCTCGTATCTCTTTATTATTAAGGCAATTAAAATCACTAATGTCCATATGTCCGGGCTCTGTGGAAATGTGCTCCACCCCGGTCTGTCCGTTCTGCATCACTTGCACCCCGTGAGGGATATCTGTTGACGCTCTGACCTCACATATTCCTGTCAGCGTTTCTTCCTCATCGCCCGGTCTCTCGTAAGGATTCCTTGATAAGGCGTCCGCATTGCCATTGGACCGCCCCGGGCGATATTTTATCTCTAGGTCAAAGAGTGCCAATTCTGCTGCCCATCGCTGTTCGATGGATCCCAACTTTGCTGTCTTTAGGTGACTCAAGGGGTTATTGTCAGTGTATACCACACATTTAGCACCTAATAGATAGTCCCTGAATTTTTCAGTCACAGCCCATTTTAATGTCAAAAGTTCTAGTTTCATGGCGCTGTAATTTATCATGTTCTTCTCTGATTCCTTCAGAGCTCGACTGGCATACGCAATAACCCTGAAACTTTGCTCTTGTTGTTGTGATAGCACAGCTCCCAGACCTTTAGAGCTGGCGTCAATTTCTAGCCGAAATGGCTTGTCAAAGTCTGCGTATCCTAATATCGGCGCCTCTGTCAAAGCCTTTTTCAGTAGCTTAAACGAGTTCAGGCATTCCTCAGTCCATAATTCACCTATCCGTTGTGTTTTGCCTTTCTTTTTCTCCTTACTGTGTTTCTTTGTCATTTTGTTTACCAAGTCATGCAATGGTGCGGCAATTTTTGCAAAACCAGGTACAAATTTTCTATAATAGGAAGCAAAGCCCAAGAATGATCTGACCTCTACTGTGGTTGTTGGCTGTTTCCATTCTTTAACAGCTGCAATTTTATCTGGGTCAGTGGCGATGCCATCCGACGAAATCACATAACCCAAAAAATGTACCGATTTCAGACCGAAGCAGCATTTGTCTGGGTTCAGCTTTACTCCTATCTCCCTAAGACGGAGAAACACTTGTTCTAATCTTTCTAGATGGTCCTCCCAAGTTTTTGAGTAAACTAGTATATCATCCAAGTACACCAACATTATTTGAAATAGAAAGTCACTCATAGCACTCTGCATTACTCGCTGGAATGTAGCAGGCGCATTAGTTAGACCAAACGGCATACGGGTCCACTCGTACAGTCCTAGTGGAGAAATAAATGCAGTCTTATGTTGATCGTTGGGGTGCATGGCCACTTGGTGGTAGCCACTAGCCAAATCCAAGGTAGAAAAAAATCTTGCTCCCCCCAACGCATCAAGACATTCATCAATACGAGGCAAGGGGAATGCATCCCTTCTTGTGATATTGTTCAATTTCCGGTAATCACAACACAGTCTTATCTCCCCTGACTTCTTTTTTACCACTACTATCGGTGCCGCATACGGGCTAGTGCTGGTTGTAATAATTCCCTTTTTTAGTAGATCGTTCAGGTGTGCTTTCACCGCCGAGTAGTGACTTGGTGGTAATCTTCGATAAGGTTGCGCCACAGGCTTGTCTTGTAGTAAGGGTATCTGGTGTTTTATTACTTCCGTGTAACCCAAATCACCCTCGTACGAGGCAAATATATCCCTGTACTTATTAAGCAATTCCTTTAGTTTTGGGTCCTCCGTTTCCGGGAATGTATATGATCGGCCATCCTCTTTCTTCACCTCGGCCGTCACATTGACCGACCTAATTGTTACTTCATTACTGCTGGTATTGATCAGTTCGATGCACTGTGCCGACTTTTGTACCTCGACGTTCTGTGGTACTCCTACCAGAGTGTTAGGCGGTATAAAAATTTCCTCATCCAAAACATTTGCCACTAATCCTTGAACTAGTCCATTTTCCGCTGATGTGTATGTCCGCAGTAACACGACGCCTGCCCTCAGTGCGGCGCCACATGGTTCTATCATCACATCACCATTCACGCTTCTATCACCAATTTGTAATGTGACTGCCTTGACCGTGTTTGCCGGGACTGATATCCTTCCTCTGGTCTTGGCAAACCTGGCCAACTTGGATCCCCGACCTGGTGTGGTCGATCCGACAATATTTGTAAGAAATTCTGGCAACTGGCCAAGAATATTCATGCCCAACAGGCAAGGTATATTTGACACATTTGTCTCTAGGTTTTGTTTCGTAACGAACACCCCAACCTGCTTCAACCTATGTCCCGCCACCACGACATCCGCCAGAAAATAACCGCAGTATGGAATGGTTAGTCCGTTAGCTGCCGTCAGGCGCATGCATGTGTCAGACCTTAACCTATGGTCTTTTCCTTTCATCCATTTGGTGTAAAAATTTTCCGTAATTGTCGGCACCTGGGAGCCTGTATCCACAATTGCCTTCACCGCGATGTCCCCAATCGTAATCACCATTTCGGGACAGACTCCCATCATTTTGTTTCTTGGGCCATAACCTCGCCCCTCTGTAGCCTGACCCTGCCTTACAGAGTGCGATCGTTTCACCGGACAGTACCGTGCCATATGTCCGGGTTGTGAGCAGGACAAGCAAATTGGTCTACCGTCAGCCGTCCACCGGAGCGATGGACCGGCAGGTCGCGGCTGTCCAACCTGTCTCTGTTTTGTCCCGTTTTTGCCCTGATTCTCAGCTGTTGACCTGCTTTCTAACCTCTCCAATCGTTGGTCAACCTTATCCAGGTGAGCCAACAGTTGAGCCATCATGGTTTCCACCGTGCCGGTCCCTGTGGGTGGGGATTGTTTCTGTTCCGGCACAGAGACTTTGTCTACCGAACAGTTCGATTGGTCCTCATCCTCGGACCTGCGGATCGCTGAGTTCCTGACCTGAAGGAAGGTCAACTGTGGGTCTTTGTAGACCTCTTCCTTCAACTCTCTCCTTACGATCGGGGTTGCTAGCCCCTCGATGAAATGGTCCCTCAGTAGGCGTACATCAATGTCAGGTGTTTTGCCCTTTACCGAATCAAAGGCCCTGTTCATTCGGTGTGAATACTCCATCACACTCTCCGCCATTCTCTGCTTTAAGCCTACGAACCCCGATAGCAGTTGCGATCCCGACCGTCTCTCCCCAAAGGTCTCCATAATTAGATCCAGCACCTTATCTGGATCTGATTGGATGGTTTTATCGTGGCATTTGACCTCTGCCCTAACCGTCTCTCCTATACTGCCCATCAGCAGTCTTAATCTTTCCTCTGGTGACATGTATCTCGAGGCCCAGGCCGCTTTGACCTCTTCACTGAACCTGTTGGTTAAAGTTGGATCACCGTCCCCGTAAAATTTGTTAATGTGGGACTCTCTGGGCAGGACCACAATATGGGTCTGCTTCTCGTCCAGAGTAGACATTTTATTCCTTGAGTAAAAAAAAAAGAAGACCTTTCCTACCGTGTATGTATGAAAAATTTTCCTCGTTCCTCAATTTTCACTGTTCCTGAATGTCCGAATTCACACACACGAAACACAGTTATGAACTAGGTTGACTATGGGTGCCTAAAGCGGCAAGTCTAATTGACTCACCCTGCTCGCAGCGCCAAATGTGACCGAGTCTAATTGAATCATCCTGCCAGCAGCGCCAAATGTGACCCTGCTCGCAGCGCCAAATGTGACCGAGGCTAGTTGCATCTTCTGCTCGACAACGCCAAATGTAACGATGTCTATCTGCTTGTAGTGCCAAATGTTAACGAGTGTATTTACTCATTCTACACAACATCGACCACAATATAGATACTCGAAGATGCAGGTTTACCATTGATCCTTTTATTACATGAATCAAAAAGAAATGCTTCACAATAATATAATGAGTCAACTGACCCCCACTGTCCTCACTAGTCTTCACATAACCGAATGCACATGTCTATCGTCCCTTATTAACACAATACGTCTACAACGTTCAGTAACCAACTTGATACTGCCACTGACTGATCCTCACTGATCATGTCTCTACAGTTCGGCTTCAGTTCTCAACTCTCGCCTTCCTATATATCCCCTTCGTATTCGTAATCGTATTCGGTTCTATCATAGTTATGTTCAATCCGAATATCTCGCCTTCCGATTACTACGCAGTTGTCTCATCAGTCCGATCAATAGAACACCTGCACTGTTACATCAGCCAAGTCGTGTCAAAGTTGACAGCGGCTTGTCGTATCCTTCCCAAAATACGCCGTGGCTTTATGATCGTTATCAGTTGGCTTATCAGTCCAACACCTGCACTATTGCGTTCTTAACAATAGTGACTAGTAACTAGGCCTACACTAGTTACATATATATATATATATATATATATATATATATATATATATTTTTATGATATATTGATATATTTTAATTGAAAATGTACTATAATAGTTATGTGTGAATCAAACACATATTTAATTGTTTGAAAATAAACATATGAAGTGCCATTTTGCAATATTTGTTATCCATTTATTATTTCACTTATCTAAGTGCCTGTTGATAAGCCAGGCCTAATTATAATAATAATTAATAGTATTAAAAATTAAAATAATGCTCTTAGATGTCATGGATACTGAAACTTAATAAAATACAATGGTTGTTCTAAGGCAATAGATAGAGAAAGTTATAGCTTTAAAATTAATGCAATTTTTTTCTAATGACTCACTTCTTTTTTTATGTAATGGATGAATCAAACCTAATCTCACACAGATGTGGTTTCAATTTTATGCTTACTCATGTACACAGGTGGTAAAGAATTATGAAAATTAATTCTTTTAGTTCAATGTAATTTTTCCTGTCAATTTTCCCTTCTATTTCTAATCTCAATTTCAGAATTTATTCCGCTGTATACAGAGTATGTACTATTTCAAATATTTGGTGCTAAATACTGTTTTTATTTTTCCAAGTAAGTAATTTTTTATTTCTTGGTAGTCACTATATATTTTAACTTTGAGTCTGCCTGTAGTGCAATTTTCAATCATAATATTTAGCTACCATCTGCTATACATCCTTAAGTATGTTTGAATCTTTTTACTATAGTATCTGTTTTCTTCAGAAATACCATAAACTAACACCTCAAATACAGTTTAATAATTGATAGTAGAGACCCTACAAATGTAACATCAGGATTCTTCTAAAACATTAACTTGTTAGCTTCTCAACCTAGTTCTTAACTCTTTTTGGGACTAACGACTACACAGTTCAATGTCAATTTGAGGAAAATATAATCACAATGGTTTTTTTTAATTGCTAGTATAAAAAGTCTTACACAGGCTTAATTATTCCAAATATGTTCATCAAATCCGTTAATTAATAATGGGTACCTAACTCACGTTAGGGAACGTTAATATGAAAAAAAATTAAGGTTCCCAAACTGCTTTAATTTTTAAAATGTAACCATAATTTTATTGCTGGGCATTTTTTCTCAAATAATTTTTAAAAATATTAGAATTATTTAATTTACATAGATTTTGAACTACTTTTCAAGCCAGTAGAGTAGATTAGTACTTTATAAAGGAAGCATTGATAACCTTTAGTTGAGAAATCAGAAATGGCCGTATGTACTAATTCCAGTCTTGAAATAATTTAACAATACTCAAGTTATTTGGTATGTTAATATTTCAGAAACCACAAATAAAGTACCAATTCAAGTTATCAGAAATCACTATAAAGAGTTAAGTACTATTTCCGATTACTGGGTATACTGGATATTGTTCAAAAGTTTACAGAAACCAGCAAATGCTTGTATGTGAAATTCTAGTGAAATATAAAACCAATACAAGTTATCATGTTTACACACACACACACACACATAGAAGGACAGGATTGCAAATACTAAGTTTTTCCTGCACTGGAAGCTTGTAAAACATTAAAACAATTATCAAAATCACAATTAGATTTTTTTTCACAATTACAATACCTCCTTTATATTCCATATACAATAAAGTAGGGAGGTGTTAAACTGTCAAAACGCCATTTAATTTATGTGCACAATAATAATACTTTCTCTGTCCTCCCTATATGAGAAAGTGAAAATTAAAAGTTTGAGTGTAACAAATATCAGAGAGGGTGGGGAACAGTAGCGTACGCAAGGGAGGAGCAGGGGGAGCGGCCGCTCCCCCTCTGGCCATTTTCAGTAAAGTGGCGCCTTTTTTGGAAACTTTTTAAACTCAAAGTTTTAAACAATGATATTTGTTACAAAAATAGTTTTGGTCGGCACATCTATGTAAATCACAAGATTTCTTTTCATGCAGCAATAAAGCATTATTGTACTAGTTTAGTAGTGTCTACGTTTACAACACGTATTAACAGCTGCATCAGTTTGCCATTCTAAAAATAACCATTACGATGCATTGCAAGGTTTAAAAAACCTCTACGGTAGTACCACTTGGCAAGAGGGGTGTTAAGTTTAAGGCAACTGTATAATGTATTAGCTTACGAATAATTGAATTAGAAAATGTTATACATAAAACTTCACACATAATTACTTTATATATACAGTTTGAATCGTGTGATTAATTAAAAAAAATTACAATACAGAAACAAATACAACTGATGTGGCATCTCTATTTAAATTTACTTATGAGCAAACTGCCTAGTGGTGGAGAAATTTTGACAAGGCCAACAACGTCATAACGATGAAGTAGTAGTATTCTTACAGTTTGGGCGATAGTGATTACGATTACAAATTATATGAAACAGTTACAACCCCCATCCCCCATGGACCCCTCTGTAAACAAAATATTGTCATAATACCACTGCTACTTATTTAAATCTATTTCTGTAATATATATTTGTGTAATATATATTTGTGTAACATATATGTATGTTTAGAACAGTCATCTAAAAACTGACGCTATGTTCACTCTGAGTTGGTTATCTTCCCCCCCCCCCCCCCCCCAACACACACACACACACCCCACCACGACAATTGTGTAGAGCGACATTAATGTCACACCTAGGTATACACTGGGTTGGATAATTGACCTAAAGTGAACGGACAGTGGTGAATGAATTTGAACCCCCCAACTCACCCCGAACTGATCTGTTAAGTACATGTATAAAAACGCGTAATGATGTACCAAAGTATCATGCCGCCAGAAAATTAGCTTTTTAAACGTAAAACTCTGTGAATATTGTTTTTGCAATTACCAGCAAAAAGGTGTGTGATCAATACAGTGATCTAACCCATACCTATCACTATGTTTAAAAAATGATCTTTAAAGAACACAAAGAAGCAGTAGTTTATTAAAATATATGCTCTGAACTAAAAGATCGGTCCTTAGTTAAATGTGGGCTGTATTCCGAATATTTTTCTATTACAACGAAAAGTGTGGTTTTATACCAACTCTGATTTTAAAAACTTTCATTATGCTGTAATACATTAGCATTTATGATGACGATATATTAAATTCTGATTATAGACAAAAACATTTTGTAAACACGAATAGTGTTAAACAATTTTATTTTATTCTTAAGTAATTATTTATTTGTTTTGACATTTAAAATTAAATGTGTAGATATATACATATTTATATTAAGAGAATGATTATTTCCCCTATTTCACTTGTTTTAAATAATTTTCCAGGAATTATTATGTAAGAACTTTTTTTTACAAGAATTACAAGACAGATTGTGTTACGTTCATTGTTTTTGGTTGTAGTGTGTAAATATATATATATATATATATATATATATATATATATATATATATATATATATATATATATATATATATATATATATATATATATATGTTTAGATTGACACAATTATTGTTTTGTCGCCCTACGTTGTGTTTTTTTTCTTATTTCTCCAGAGTGCTACTTTTCAATTTATTTTACATCATAGCGAAGTAATGACATACAGCTAGTAATTATATATATATATATATATATATATATATATATATATATATATATATAATACACGTATATAGAACGTGTTAAAAATTCGGCGACTTTTTTTTGCTCATTTCGCTCCCCCTACAACGAAAACCTGTATACGCCTCTGGTGGGGAAATAATGTTCCAAATGTTTCATTTTGATTAATGTAGGTTTTCAAGGTCTATATTTATAAAATTTGATCACATATGCAACAAACCACGAATAATAGATGTAGAATAGTTGTAGCTTTAGGCAAACTGTTGTACACATTTGCATGTAAATAGCTATTGTTGAAGCTGCTCAAGCTGTTGACATGTCTTGGTTGTTGCAACTACCTTTACTAATTATTCTTGCAATAGTTTTGATCATAGCGATATTGATTGCAAATACTAAGTGGAATATTTTTTTTAAATGCTAGAGAGAGCAATGCCGATTAAGGTACAACCCAAATACCAGAAATGTAGGAATAGTACTTTTAGATGATGGATGGGCCTTTGCCATTTATATAAATGACATCAGACTCATAGGGAGGAGAGAGGTTCAGAATTGTGTGAAAGGAGGGGGGTATTCAGAAAGTGCAATGTAGCACTATTGCATTTAACTGTAGTTTCACATTTAAAAGAATGTTTTTGAAAATTGTAATAAATTAATATACTTTTTGTTGACCAAATTCAGTTACAATTTTAGTAATACATTGATGTTTAAAAAAAAAAAAATTTGAGGGGAGTATTTTGGGCTTAAGTGTGATTTCATGGGGGTGGGGGGGGGGGGGGGGGGGAAAGTTAAAAAAAAAAACCTGATATCTTTTTTTCTGAATACAAATGATTCAAAATTTGCAAGGTATTAGATGGGCAATTGCTTAAATTAAAAATTGAGGATGAATTTTTGTTATTCACGTAACCTGTTAAACAATACCATGTCTAGCTAATGATGTGCTACTGCTTGATTCCACTGGCAATCCTTCTTGTATCAATAGAAACACTCACAAACAACTCTACAAATTTGTATTTCACAGTCAATCAGCAGTTGAATAAAAGAAGATATGTAAAAAATTTGAAAACATAAGTAGGGGATGGGAGCTGGATTTTTATTCTTGATTTTGGTCTGTGTAGAGTAGAGGTTTGCTTTTTTAAAAATCTCTGAAGTTAATTCACATATTTGTTTCATCCTTAGTGCTTCCATAGTAAATAGTGTAAAAGGAATGCATCACTGACATTAAATTAGATTATATCACCTTATTTAATATATTATTTTACATTACAGGCTTTTCTAATTGATAATTAGACTATGTTCTTAGTATGTAATGTTTTACCATTAAATTACAGCTTTTAAATATTTGTATTCAAATGCTTTTAGGTAAATTGAATAATGTAAGTAGAAGTTCAAGTAATTTTGTTTAGTCTTACATTCATCTTAAACTCTAGTAGTTTGTCCTGAGTGAAAACAACTCATGTATTTTAATGTAAAGATATAATAAAACATGGTTAAATATTTTCAACACGGCAAAATTAAAACTAACATTACTTTAATAAGCATAACATGAAATAGAAACTGTTTAATTGATTAGGTTTTTTTTTTTGTTTGGTTGATTGCACACTCAGTAGATTAGAATTAGCTTTTACTTATGTTATTACCTGCATGTTACTGCTTATATTTATTTTATGTTAAAACATCTATTGAAATATGTATGTAACAATCATGCACATGTTATATAATTAATATGAAGAACTGATGGAGGGGGGTGCATTATTTTGTTATATATTGTATTATATGTGGTAGGGTGATGTTATCTAGCAAAGTTATAGCATACAGACATTGATATTTTTATTCTTAGCTTTACAATGTGTTAGCCTTTTGTGTAGTTAGTAAATGAGTCGACTCAACTATATTTTTTATTTTAATTCAGCTATAAGCAGTAAAACACTATATGATACATGGTGGGGAAAAAAATGTGTCATTTTTTGTTTTATATAATATGTGCATGATCCCTAGTCTAAATTTTCAATTTTCTTATTTATTCCTTCTTATTATTGAAAGAAAATCATACAGAAATAATGTGTTTATGATACCCAATTTATATGAAAATGTTCAATATTTTTTTTATGCAGTAACTCAATCTCTAATATTTACTTCTGATAGTACCACTAATATTTATTACACAATAATTAAGGTAGTTAATAAACTTAAAAATTGTAATTAAGCTGATTTGTGTGTTCCCCCAACCATAATACTATTGGCTCTTCCCATTTTTAGTCTTGCCCTACTTTTTTTTCAACAATTTAGGCAGATGTTTTGTTTCCCCCCCCCCCCCCATTTATCTTTAAAGAATCCACTTTAGACCTAGAGATCCATTGGGTAGTTGAAGTAGAGTTCATATGTTTCTTGAACTTGTCGAATGAAGGGAAGGTATGGTCAACACTTTGCTAGATTTGGCTATATAAAGGCGTAAAATGCCTCTTTAAAATGCTCCACACATCAGCAATTATAGAATAATGATGACTTGACCACAACTACAAATGGAAAAAAAAAAAGAAATCACTATCAAGGCAAAATAATTTTGAACATATTTTGAAATACAATTTAAAATTTTATTTATGTTCAAATTGTGGGTGTCCATGGGTTCGGCAAGAAAGTAGCTCTGCCACTTGCTCTTTAAAAGCAATTGATGTTTATTGTAATGGTATGTCATGCATGCTTCAGTGCTCATAAACGTACATGTACAGAAGTTCCCAATGGCTGTAATAAGAAGATTGTTTTACCCCCATGGTTTTAATTCAAGTTAAAAATATATATATTTTTAGATAATTTATCACAATGCCCCTTTTCATTTTAGTGTTCAAACTCAAGCAAATAATAAATAATATATAAATAGAATGTCGTTTATTTAATTTGGCTATTATTCACTTAGTAAAATGAGATAAACTATTTTGCAGTTTAACTCAGTCAAAGAACATAGACCAGGGGTCGGCAACCTGCGGCTCGCGAGCCGCATGCGGCTCTTTTGGTGTCAAGATGCGGCTCGCCAGTTTCATAATATCGTGCGAAACATGTGTATGTTTTATATGAATATAATTATTATTTCTTACTTAAACCAATTTATTTTAATTTTATTTACCTAATTGTAATCAAATACCATAATATTAAAAAATATATCTTTCTAAGTGGCTCTTTAAAAGCTGGGAGATTTTGTAAATTGTAACTTTTGGCTCTCCCGCCTCAAAAGGTTGCCGACCCCTGACATAGACATATTTACAGTAAAATAATAAATATATGAGGAAATTTCATGTTCTTCTTTTTTTTAAATTTTTTTTTCTCTTTAGAAGTGATATTGATATGTTATTTCTTCTATGCAAATGTGTCCCTACTTATAATTTCTATTACTATTTGTGCTTTTACTGCAGCATTGCAAAGGATTGAATTGTATTTTATAACCTTTTTATTTAAACACCTAAGTTTTTTACTCGATTGACAAAGTTAGTACTTGTGGTATTGTGTGTAGAAATACATGAAATAATTGGTTTAATATATATCTATCATAGTTACACTGCCAAACCTTGCTGTATATATTAAGTTATGCTTAACTATGAAACATATTTAAGGTAAGAGCAATAATTTGTACTAGAAGTGCTCATATCATTTCCCGACCTGCTAATTTAAAAGGCAATGACCGTATGATTTGTATATAAAACAACCTCCTGGTCTCTTTAATTTATGGATATTTTTTTTAGCAGTCCACTGCAAGGCCGTGTCATCCCATCGATATGTTATAATCCCGCAATATATGTTGTATTCATTTAAGTCAATTTTTTTTTGGTCATTTTCTTTCAAATTCAGACTAATTTTACTATTTTAATACATCAAGATGTAAAAATATGAATGATCATGTAAATAAAAACAAATAAAATAAGAAATCATCATACACTGGAATTATTTAAAGTTATACATATAATAAAATCAAAAGAAAATTGTTTCAGTATTTCATGTAACTTACCAACAGCGTAACTTAACTTGCAATTTCAGTGAGGTATTTGATTCAAGCCAGTTGTATGTAATTTAAATTATATCCAAAGTGTTTTTAAACAAATAGGCCTACTATGTACTTAAAGCTGTAAATATGTTTAAAATATTGAGCTTGCTTGCTAAATAAACCCTCTAATAGAAACCTCTTGTTTTAAAGTGTATACTTTAAGTGAGTATATTAAACTGAGTCCACATAACCAACGAGACAGCATCACATCATGTACCAAAGGATTGAGGGAGCAAAAAGACAAAGCTGTTTTCACCAGTGAAGTTAAATTTGACAGTAACACCACAGACTATACCAGAATAATATCATATGAAATTAAAAGACATTCTGAAGCATCTTTCTCCCTTGTGAGTAAGCTTAAATTTATTTGCCTGTATTACGTATATTGGCTAATGCAGGATTATGCACATATAACACGAAAGTGGTTAGCTTATTATTCCTTCATATCTATATATATAATTCTCCTCTGCGAGTCATTAGAAAACAAGCTGCAAGCGCCTCCTTACAGTCCCCTCTCTTTCTCTCTATCACTATCACTACCACCCTACCCCACCCCCACATGGTCTGCTGAGCTGTGGTCACGTTAATGTTTACAAACCGTACAGCCAGGTTTAGTGACGGCTATTAGGGGCAGATAATTAAGTTTGAACCGACTTTAAACTTACAGGAGGTAACTAAGAGGAGGCTGCTTTCACGGGGGGGGGGGTGTAGGGTCGGGGTTAGGGGAAAGGAGGGGGGTTAGTGTTTTAAAGCAAATATTTTCAGTGGCAGCATTGGTACTGTCGAATTCACAAATTATGAATTACTGAAAAGTAGAAAATAAATCAACTAAATAGCGGCGTATGATACGCCGCGGGTCGGCTCGTTTTATTATATTTGGTAGGATAGTGGTCAGAGGCTGTTTTATAAAACACCACTGTGAAAGGTTCTGGATTTGTTATAAAATATTAAAAGTGGTGCGATATGAAATATTCTTTGGTGTTGATGGCTTAAAAATATTGTTTTTTTTATATATGATATGCCTGTTAAATAGTGGTTGTAGTGACACAATTATTATAAACATTTAAGCATAGTGTTAATATAGTTAGCAAGCTCCAAATGTCAGGATTGAGGCTCTTTACATAAATCTTAAGTTAAAGAATAACTTTGCCTTAAACCTAAACTAGCTAACCTAACATTAATGCTAAACTTTCCACTAATCAAACACTGGCTCTAACTGATCTCTAGTCATCATATAACCCTATCTCAGAACCCAAATACCTAGTATTAGTAATACATCTAGTGTAATACTAGACCCAAATATAGCATTAATATGAAAGTGAAAGCTAAAAATAAAACTTATTACTAAACCAAAGTCTAATTTTAATAATAGTAGCAACCCTAAAATTTAACACCTTGACTAAAACTAATGATAACGCAAACTTAGAATTTGTCAAATATAAATCTTAATCCCAAAACCTTGTCACTGTCAAGTAGCTTAAAAGAAGCACATGACATTTTAAATGTCCCCCTTAATTTAAGCACCGCACAAAATTTAAATACTTACCCTAGTTAGTCAAAAAATAACATAAACAATTGAAGGACATAAGAAGTTATGCCATTATTTATCATAGCTTTATTCTTTACACTATAAATATTTCAGATGCATGTGTTATATTTTGTGTATTGAGTGGTAAGGGGTCGTCCATAAATGACGTCACACTCGTAGGGGGAAGGGGGGTCGGTAATTTTGTGATGGTGTGTGATGAGGGGAGGGGGGGCTCATATGGTGTGCCGTCACACTTTTGCATTGTAAAAAAGGATTGTAAGAAAACGAATTTTAGTCGTTATTGCGTGTTTTAGTAAACTGTTTTAATAAATTGTAATAAGAATTTATTAAAATACTCTATGTTGACAGAGTTGAGACAAGATTTTGGAAAAATATTGTACTTTAAGAAAAATTCAACTGCAATTTTGAAGGGGGGGGTTGTAGGCTGAGGTGTGATGTCATTTTAGGGGGGTCTGGCATTTTGTGACGATGTGTGACGTAGGGTAAGGGGTGGGGGAGGTAAAAATCAAAAATGTTTGACATCATTTATTCAGATGGTTTATATATATATATATATATATATATATATATATATATATATATATATATATATATATATATATATATATATATATATATATATATGATGCTTGAGTTGTAAAAAAATTCTTTCTCCATTTTTAGCTTTGTACTGTGAGCATTAATCAAGGCTGCCAGGGCTTTGAAGACAGAGATTGTTACTGTAACCACACAGATGCCCAGGATGTGCATCATATCTTTATCAACAGAACAGTTCTTCAAATGGACAGTGAAGCAGAAATACGAGGATACTTGTACCACATCAGCTCTAACAAGCTCTACAGCTCAGTCCAGACACTCCCCACAGTCTACAGTAAGATCAGTTTTATTTGATGTTATTTTAAGTCATTTGGCTTGTAGACTACAATCAGGCATGGGGAGAGCTCAATATTACATTAACTTCTTTCACTCAAATATTCAATAGAGATTGCTTGGCTTAACCCATATATATATATATATATATATATATATATATATATATATATATATATATATATATATATATATATATATATATATATATATATATATATATATATATATATATATATATATAGATATATATATATATATAGATATATATATATATATATATATATATATATATCACTTTCCTAGAACCAGACTGCTCCGTGTCCATTGCATGTATTTCTTTGAGCTATATACACAATTGGGTTCTAAATCCAGCATGGAATTTAAGAAAAAATTTCAAGGCTGTGTTTCTCATCATCTTTAAAAAATATATACATTTCATTGAGCACTTAATGAAATGTTAGGGAAAACAAATTGTGAAAGCCTTCTGAGCATTTGTGCAAATAAGGAGTTGAAGCAGTCTGGTACTATGGAAGCAATATATATATATATATTGATATATATATATATATATATATATATATATATATATATATATATATATATATATATATATATATATATATATATATATAAATGCTATATAAACATTTGTAAAAAGTGATTCTATTGTTATTTTATTAAAACTTACTTGCAGTGATTTATTACTACCCACACAGCCACATTCTAATGACAGTCAGTCTTGATCCAATTTAGATGAATTAAAATTATTGAGATAGTTATAATATTCTTGGGGTTTGAGTGTAAAACCTGGGCTAAAATCAACATCCAAAATTTTTGTGCAAGTATCCAGTCTAATACAGGTGTAAGGAACAAACCAGTTACAATTTCACATATCCATTTGCAGTAGAAAGAATGATAGAAAAATAACTAAACTAAAATAATTTGTATTTTATTAACCCTGTTTTGAGGTAGTACTTCAAGATTACTGCAAATCAATGGGAAAAGCTATATTGGTCCAAACTGCTATGTTGAAATGAATGCAAATGAAGACCAGGTGGTATTCTCCTGTTTGAACACCCCCTCCCCCTGTTTCACCAAAATCTACCAGAAAGGTACTGTGGTGGCCTCAGGGAGTATGAGCACCAGTTACACAGCCAGCAGTGGGGACAATCGTGTTACGGAGTTCATATTTCGAAGCTCTGTTTGTGATGAGGATTATGAACAGACATTAAGCTCATGCATCTTTGTTAGGGGTGAGCCATGTAAAACCTTAGGTATAGTAATCCCATAATTTCTAAATCTATGTTCAATTAGTTTCATTAGATTTCTGTTCAGTTATAGACAGTATAGGAAATTTAGTGTCATTTTTCCTTGCTCAACAAGTAATGATTTACCATTTTTTAGTTATAGTAGATTTTTTTTTTAAATTTCAATTGCATGTCCTTATTTTTTAAACAAAGTAGATGTGCTTTTCTTAATTAAATGACGAATTTAATTTATTTAACTTTTTCAAATGCCTTTTTAAAAAAAAAATAATATAAAAAAAAATTACTTTTACAACATAGAATTATTTTACACTGTTTGCTTGATTTCTTTTTTTTTTCTTTTATACCCGCGATTAGATTTGTATTAGCAAAACTACTGTTTTCTCTAAACTATTTTATGACAAGGTGTAAGTGTTAAGAAATACCAACTGAATGTTGTTCTACAATGTAAAATAACTACCGTTTTGCTAGTAGTTCTACAAACATATATATTTTAAACATTACAAAAATCTATTTTACAGAAAAGCTTCAAGAATTAAAAACAACTTAATATAGTCTATCTAACTATCATTACCTACCTGTGTGATTAAAAACTTTGGTTCAACAAAAAACAGTAAATTGTGAAATTATTATTTCATTTATTGGGAATGGCCATTCTAAAGCTCCCAGTGTCATTTCTGTCTTATAGCGTTAATGTTTGGCGCATAAAAAATTTCCAATAGACTCTTACGTTAAACTTTTTAAAGAATTAAAAGTGTATATACGCAGTATGCATAAGTGTGTATATGAAAACAAATAAATAAAAATATAATAAATGTAACAAAATAATTGATAATCATGTTATTATAAAACATATGTTTAAACTTTTGCACAGAGAAAAATATGGATTGGCAAAGTGGCATATTAATTGTCAGTTTTCTATTGCTGATTGTACAGACTGTAGGGATGTTTCCTTATTTGATTATAAGGTAAATCATTTTCACACTTTGAAAACGTAACACATATTATAACATTTTAGTTTTGTTGATAGCCATGACTGTCAACTTGGTCAAACATAAATAACAGAATATTCATTTGATTTTCCTTGGATGCTGTATTGTGATCACAAAACAATTACACAGCAACAGCAATAAATTTCAATCAGCTATGAGAGGAGGCAACTGAGGTTTATTTTGATCATTAGTTTCCAGGGTAGTTGTAGTTTATTTTATGTGTATTTAAATCTTAATACCCATTTATCTTTAAAGAATTTATAAAGCATCAATAAATTATATACATGGTAACACAGACATTGCTATTTCCTTTTCACAATTTTCTATGCTTATTTTCCTGGAATATATTCCTCATTGATTTCTACTATACTGAAGTATTATGACAACAATATAATAGAATTCAATGATTTTTTTTAACTTTGAGATTGTATTAAATAGATGCATAATAACAATCATTTAAAATAATTTGATATATTTGGAAGTTGTGGGGTGTTTATATATTATTAGTTAAACATACATAATCACACTTTGTGAAATTATTGATTATAAATGCTTTTTATTGCATAATTTCTTTTCTAGGCATCGACAATTGCAGAAGAAGGTATCAGGTAAATACATGTTTAACTTTTTAAATTTTTAACTAAAGCATTAGAAAATGTAATTTTTTATTGAATTATCTATTACTACCTTGTGGTCTATGGAAGCAAATCCAGAAAGTATGCTGAAATCAGCCTATCTGGAGAATAACATGTTGACACAATATACTTTATTGTGTTGAAGGAAATTCCTTCCAATATTACAAATAAGAAAAAACAAGAAGCATCAAGTACATCAAAATCTTTCTTATTTTATTGCTTTAAATTATATTTTTAAGGAAAATATAATAATCTTCAAAGTGTTATAATGAAGGATAATTAGTTGATAAAATGCAGTTGTAATAACTCAAATTCTATACTTAAAAAGAAAACTTTTGTGCAAAAAAAAAAAAAAATGGGTGTGATCTTCCTAACCTTTCTTGTATGTAGAAGTAAGGATGATTGCACTTCCAGTTCAGACAGGTTATAGAAATATAGATGTCTGACAAAGCTGCTCATTTTTCATGCATTACCAGAATAAGATATAAAATCGTAGGATTCTTAAGGGTTTTTGAGAAATAGCATTAGAGTGAAATACCCCTTTGTAAAGCACTCATTTATCTCTCTCTTATACTTACTTTAAATTGATTAGAATTTCATAGAAAAAAAATTGCAAACAAAAAGGTATCAAATTCTTCTGGTTTTTTGAGAAATTAGAAATAGTGTAAAGTACTACTTCCTGTCACCGGAAATTATTCAAAATATGACAACTATCAGTGAATAAGATCTTTAAATTAAGTATGAAATTTTATCCACCTACGTAAATAATTTTTTTTGAATTTATCAGTATTTTAGAAACCAGAAACAGAGTAAAGTACCACTTTCAGATATATAAGAAATCACTCAAAATGTGAGAGTTATCCAAGTATTACATCTTTTACTTATATATGAAATTTCATCCACCTTACTTGAAATAAAGCGTAGGACCACTAGTTATAGGCTTTTGAGAAATCAGAAGTATAGAAAGTATGTTTTCCGGTTACCAGAAATTGCTTGATTGAAAATTACAACTTTAATATAATCCTTATTTGTGAAATCTTGTCAAACTATAATGGTACTCAAGTTATTGTGCTCACATTATTTATGGGCCACTAGAACTATGTTTGCATTATACAAACATAACTTTTTAAAATTATCCTTTGATTATAGGATGTAGTTACTAGTGAGAATATTATGTCTTGTTATAAGTAAACAACATTATTTCTATTTTTTATTTAATTTTTTATGATAATGACTAGTTGATTAGCCATTGAAAATCTGTTTTGTTTTATGAGTTTGTACTTTTACCCCATTGATTACTTTGGGTTCTCCAATATTTTACAGATCACATCCAGTTCACAGAACAACAGTTTTCTCTGAATGAGAATGCATCAATTTAATATTAAATTTTCTGACAAAAAGGCAAAATAGACACATCCAATGGATAGAACTAACTGGCAAACTGTCCATATTTACAACTGAAATCAAGAAAAGACTGGATTAGGATCGCAATTTGAGTTTGGTCAGGGAGACCAAGAATAAAATTCAAAATACACTCCACAAACTATGTTAACTGGAGAAGAAAATACAATAGGATGTTAATCATTTTTTTAGCAATCCATGTATGTCAGTGCTGCAGAAGAAAATGTATCACTTTTATTTACTTTTACAATTTGATTTGGTAAACAATCTACTAGTCATAACTAATGTCTTTAGTTAAAATGTAAATGAAGAAAAGGTAATTATCATCACTTTCAGTTTACCATTACAGTAGCAGAGCATGATTATAGGCCTGCTTAATTCCATTAAAATTCTCAATTTGGCATATTTAACAAATGTTCACCATTTAATGTTCTATAATAATTCATACATTTATTAAGCCTAAGTATACTGTTTAATATTCTACACTAAGTTTATATACTGCCCTTACTCTGAGGGGTCATCCATAATCAGAATCACATAGAGGTTGGGGAATTCAGATCTTTGCAATGCGGGTGATGTTTCAGAAAATATATTGAAACAAAAACAAAATTTTAGCATTTATTGAGAAATTTATTACTTTTATCAATGTTGTCATTATTGTGTATTCTTTTCAATATTTTATTTTTAATCCTATTTTTTATTCTGCAATCAATAATGTCATTCTTTTTTTTTTGGTGTAATTTCTTTTTGAAAGAAATAGCAGATTTTAGGCTGGGGGTAGGCTGATATTTTTGTGATAATGTGTAACTAACAGAGGGAATGAGGAAAAGATATTGTAAAAAAAAACTTGTATATAATATTACTAAACTTAGTCAATACTATGATGATAACGCTAATAACATTTTAATTTACTTCAAATTTTGGATTTAGGCCTTAGCCTTAACATCACATCAATTGAGAAGTTTTTGAGAAGTGTGTTTATTCAGGTCCAGTATGTCATATGTTTATTCTCTAAACTGGTAAAGAATATTCTTTATTATTGTATGATTATTTTAAATATGTTGTATTAACATTAAAAAGTTATACTATGTCTAAGCAATAGTGTGGATGTAATACTAATAGGCTTGTTAAAACTTAGCTACCTCATCTTCTTGTAGTTGTAGCAAATCAGTTTTTGTAATTAATGTGTCTATTATATAAGTGCTGCATAAAGATATATCATTTTCTTTTTGATATAATAAGAACAGAGGTTATCAATTTGTTACATTGAAAAAAAATGAAATTTAAACCCCTCTGAATTTCAACAAAAATTTAAGATTTCTCAAAACCTAATTGCTCACGATGTATGTAGCATTTATTCTTTCAGAAATGTCTCTGGTTTTAAACAGTGAAGGCATTATCTAAAATGTATTCTAAAACATATAATTAAATTGTCTAGTAAAAAAAATATGTGACTCTCTTTTTTTAGTAATTATTAACTCCAAATCAACAAAACACTGATGAAGAAAACTAAATCTGTATTTTTTATAAAAAGACATGTTTGGAAAGTATAATTTGCTTCATTTGTTTGCAATTTTTTACATGAGTATGTGCTTGGTTAGTTGAAAGGCCTAATCAGATTCATAGCGGTTTTTCTGTTTTCATTAAATGCTTGCCACCTGCATAGATCCAAATTAGTACATATCAATGGTTTGACTGAATTATTTCCTTTGAGCTGTTGTTTTTCAAACCACTACACTCCTGTACAATTTAACATCACTGTATTTTTGTTTAATTATGTGGACTGGGTGTGTCTTGGTCCATAAGTGAATTTTTATTTGTTACTTTGTTTCTTCTTGAGTTCTGTATATGATTTATCAACGACTGTATATATAATTTTACATCTGTCAATTGATTACAGACACTTCTTATCTTTACCTTTACTTCAAATCTGTTACAACTAAATTTACCTGTGATCATAATGTATGAGTTGACTTTTTACTTTCTCGTATATACGAAGTATAGAGAAAGTCTTGTAATCGTGCAAAAAAAAAATCGAGATTTTTACAAATCTCGACGTTTTACACCTCACTGATACGGAAAAACATATTTTTGCAATCGTGTCCGTATGTCTGTGTGTGTGTGTGTGTGTGTGTGTCCGTGTGTAAACACGATAACTTGAGTACCGTTACAGCTAGGTTGATGAAATTTCATATATAATTATTTTATCAAAATCGTAGATCCGTATCAACTTTTGAGCGATTTCCGATAACCGGAAGTGGTACTTTTTCTACTTTGAATTTTTCAAAAGCCTGTAACTTGAGTACTATTTCAGATAGATAAATGAAATTCCACATGTAAGTAACAGATCTGATTCTCTACCTTCTGTTAAATTTTGAGTAATTTCCGTTGACCGGAAGTAGTAATTTACGCTACTTCCGATTTCTAAAAAAACTAATGTAAATTTTTAAAGTACTAATAATATTGCGCACTATTATGCACTTTTTTATTTGGCGTTTACTTGGTGTGCAATTAATTTGTCTACGAGATTTTATTCTATTTTTAAAACTTTAAGTATTTAAAATGGATTAAAAATCATGTCTATAGCCCGAGTTCCCATCCCCTGTTATTTTATATAAGAATATTCGAGAAAGTTTAGGGGAGATCACTCCCGGTTTATTTAAATGGTGCTGAATCCCTTGTTGACTGCATTTATTATCTACTGTTACCTGTTACCAATAATCAAATCATGCTTGATTGTACGCTAATTGTAAATATATACATGAATGTGGATGTTGGCTTTTTTTTGTAAACAAAAAAAATATTTTCCTGTTTTTTTTAATAAGCTGTCATTTTATTTTTAATTTATGTATAAATTCTGTTCAGAAATGACATGTCAATCCTAGTGTGGAAGATGAATGTGTGTTGTGAGTGGTGGTATTTCGGACTTAAATACTCAAGACGTTAACCTCTATAGAGGCCAGAAAATGAGACTACATTGTTCATATATGCTGATTCATTACTAAACAGAAAAAGAAAATGTTGTAATTTGCTTTGTGAGATAGGTTAGAAGTAGGCTGTATATATGTTGTTTAAAAATTTAATTAAAAGAGGTATGGTTATCTAAGGTGTAGGCTAGTTCTGTGTACTTTTCTATAGTCACTGTATCATAGCTCTGTGTAGTAATTTGAGTTAGTATTTTAAATAGCCTGTGCTTGTGTAGTTTGATTAAACTCTTTTGAGTGTTCATCGAGCCTTTGTTTTATTTAGTCTGGTGTTTTGTAACTAGTGTGTGGTTGCTTTCTTGTATGCTGCATGAAGCACTGGATCACACGTAAAGGCGTGTCCGTGTGCAATACAGCTTTGGAGCTACTAGATAGTTAAGATGATTCACGCTGAAACTGAAAGATTTCAAATACCAAAACAAATAATAAAAAGTCAAAAGTTTATTTAGAAAGGATGCTACTAATCTGAGCCACACCACATAGTTTTTGAGTACATTTTCTTATATAATATAATAGAAAACATTTATTATAGATTTAATTTACCTAGCGATAAAATAAATATGTTGTCATTCGTTGATGCTTAACTAGTCTAAATATGCAAGAAGCATTCAAAACTCACAACTGTATGAAATAATTATTTTTAAAAATCCCACCTAATTTGAAATTTACATTTTATGTATCTCCATGTAATCAATGTATTAAATATTCATTTTTTTCTTCTCTCAAACGTATCCGTTATATTGAATATAGGACAACAACTAGTAAATATGCACCATCTAGAACCTAGCGACTAATGACTTATTCCTCTGGGACCCCTAGGGAACAAAGGGCTGTAGCCACACCTTTTCACTTTGTTTTGGGCAGCTCTCTTTAGTTGAGCCCACGTAAGTCCGGCAGCCCTTGCTTCTCTTTCCACTGTCCTCCGGGAATGTTTTTGCCGACCTAAGTGTGAGCGGCTGGAGTGTGTTTATCTGTTATTATAATTATTTGTAACTAAGAAGGCGAATGTCGCTTTTTATGTTCCTTTGAGGATTGTTGTGGTTTTTAGTTAAGTAGTCCGCTATTATGGCGCTGATATGATTTCGATTTTACAATGGTTTGTAGCCTGGTTATTGTGTCTTGTTTATATTTTAATGTTATTATTTATGCAAACTTTGTTTTGAATTGTTGCTCCACTTTGCTTTATGTCCTGAATGTTACTTATTATTGTATTAGGGACTATTTTCTTGTGCGTAGCATTGGTTTCTTTGTTCTTAGTATTGGTTTCTTTGTTCGTGAATGTGGTGTGTCGACATGGAGGGACATTCTGCTGGAATGTCGAGGCCTGTGTGTTGAAGAGTTTCTGTGTCACGTTTATGTGGTGTATGGTAACGTAGGGTTATTTTTATAGTGTTTTATTATGTTTTCCATATTTTTGGTTGCTTATTTTGTATACAAAGTGACTATTTACTAGATCTACTTAGTCTTGACTTTGAGAAGTTTCAATGTTTGTTTTATCCAGACCACGTGGTAGCACGATGGCCTGGGTTTAGTCATGGATTATTGTAGATTTTACTTTCATTTATGAGAGCCTCTTGTTTAGGCTGACAATTGTGTCAGCTTACTGCCTTGTGTATGACTTTTTTTACATTTTAAATTGATTTGTCTTATTTTTCCTCTTTCTAGGACGGTGGTCCGAAATTGGGTGTTTTGTTTCGTTGAGTTCTGTTTGTTTTGTAGATCTAGAATCTATGTCTTGAGTGTTTTGTCTAGATCTAGATTCTGGTTTTTTTTTATAATAACTTTTGGTTCCATATTTATTATTTTGTTAAATAAATTTTATATTATTGTTAAAAGTTTTTTTGTTTTTAATTTAGACTAAGGTTAGGTTATTAACCAGTCTGGGTTACCGGACTTGCACTGACCGGACAGAAGTAGTTAGATAAGCCTAGAAGGATAGATTTTAAGATATCCCCCCCCTAGCAGGGCTTACAAATTGGTAGCACGAGTGGGGTCAGTGCTTTAGTCTAGTTAAATTTTTTTTTTTTTTTGCTAGGGCTAGGTGTAGCTTAGTTAAATTGTTTTCTTGATAGGCCCTTTATGGAACCATATGTGTTTAATTTTTGTTTAGTGTAGGAATCGTTTGTTGTTTAAAACACCCAATTCGGACGAGATGGCGGAGGTGGCACCAACCATCATCATCGTTCCACCCAGGGAGATCCTAATCCGGAGGTTCCATGGGGACAGCCATGGCTATGAGGTGGACCGGTTCATCAAAGAGGTCCAGTCCCTCTGGAGGGCCAGGGGAAACCTCTCAGTAGAAGAGAGGAAGGACCTCCTCTGGCAGTACCTGGGGGAAGCGGTGAGAGAGGAGCTGAGCTGCAGGGGTGATGACCTGCAGCACGACCCAGAAGCCACCCTCAGGCTCCTCAGAGAGGTGTACGGCGAGAAGAGGAGAGTACCGCAGCTCATGGCCCAGTTTCAGATGGTTGTACAGGGCCAACACGAGTCGGTGAGGGCCTACTCGCACCGACTGCACAGGGCCTTCAAGACCCTGGTTACGAGGCAGAGTGCCCTGCAGGTCCCACAGACTGATGCAGGGTTTCTTCGAGACCAGTTTGTGGAAAACCTGAGCCAGGCCACAGTCAGACGCCATCTGCATGAGCTGATTTTTCGGGACCCCAAGATCCCCTTCCTGGCCATACGTGATGCGGCCATTCGATGGTCTGGAGACGAGGACCCTCTTGCTGAACCTGCCTACGTGGCAGCAATAAATGCCAGGCCCATTGAAAAATGTTCGTTCAGGTCCAAGCTGGAGGACAAAGTCAACAGGCTCACCGAGCAGCTTGCTGCTCTGCTGAAGCACTTTACGCGGGACCCCAAATTTTCCAATGTGCGCCAAGCACCTCGCAAGCGCGCGGAGGTCCAATCAAAGGGCTGCTATAACTGTCACCAGAGGGGTCACCTCGCCCGTCATTGCCATATGGCAAAGAAATATGAGACCAAAGGGAATCAAGTGACACCGAAGGTATGGCGAGGGGACAAGGTCCTACGCCCCCGCGAAAGGACTCTGGTGCCTGCCAAGGGTGTACCAACCATTCAGGCGACGGAAGGAGACCCCAGAATGAAAGACGACAAGGTGGTACAGCCATTAGACCAACCTTTTCACCCAGATCCGTCAGTGGTATCAGGCCCAACATCCTGCCTACGCGCCAGCATAACCAGTGTAAAGGTGGACCAATCTGAGGAACTAGAGGCAATGGTTCCACCTAACCCATCCTTAATTAAGGCACCGGGTGGTGGTGCTGGGGCATGCCCCCAGACAGAGTCAAGCAAGAAGGACAAACTGGTCAAAAAGGCACCTGTAGCTGAACTGGCCATAGGCGACCTGGTCCTTCTGAGACAACCCCCAATTGGCAGACGCAAAGTAGCAGACCTGGACGGCCCGACAGTTTATGTCCTGTGGGCTGGTTTTTTTTGCAAAGTTTTTTTGTTTTTTTGTAACATTTATGATTGTGCCCTGTGGGCTGATTTTTTTCAGGTTTTTTAGCTTGCGGTGACCGCAAGCTTTAAGGGGCGTGTATGTGAGCGGCTGGAGTGTGTTTATCTGTTATTATAATTATTTGTAACTAAGAAGGCGAATGTCGCTTTTTATGTTCCTTTGAGGATTGTTGTGGTTTTTAGTTAAGTAGTCCGCTATTATGGCGCTGATATGATTTCGATTTTACAATGGTTTGTAGCCTGGTTATTGTGTCTTGTTTATATTTTAATGTTATTATTTATGCAAACTTTGTTTTGAATTGTTGCTCCACTTTGCTTTATGTCCTGAATGTTACTTATTATTGTATTAGGGACTATTTTCTTGTGCGTAGCATTGGTTTCTTTGTTCGTAGTATTGGTTTCTTTGTCCGTGAATGTGGTGTGTCGACATGGAGGGACATTCTGCTGGAATGTCGAGGCCTGTGTGTTGAAGAGTTTCTGTGTCACGTTTATGTGGTGTATGGTAACGTAGGGTTATTTTTATAGTGTTTTATTATGTTTTCCATATTTTTGGTTGCTTATTTTGTATACAAAGTGACTATTTACTAGATCTACTTAGTCTTGACTTTGAGAAGTTTCAATGTTTGTTTTATCCAGACCACGTGGTAGCACGATGGCCTGGGTTTAGTCATGGATTATTGTAGATTTTACTTTCATTTATGAGAGCCTCTTGTTTAGGCTGACAATTGTGTCAGCTTACTGCCTTGTGTATGACTTTTTTTTACATTTTAAATTGATTTGTCTTATTTTTCCTCTTTCTAGGACGGTGGTCCGAAATTGGGTGTTTTGTTTCGTTGAGTTCTGTTTGTTTTGTAGATCTAGAATCTATGTCTTGAGTGTTTTGTCTAGATCTAGATTCTGGTTTTTTTTTATAATAACTTTTGGTTCCATATTTATTATTTTGTTAAATAAAATTTATATTATTGTTAAAAGTTTTTTTGTTTTTAATTTAGACTAAGGTTAGGTTATTAACCAGTCTGGGTTACCGGACTTGCACTGACCGGACAGAAGTAGTTAGATAAGCCTAGAAGGATAGATTTTAAGATATCCCCCCCTAGCAGGGCTTACATAAGTATCTTTTTCCCTGGGGTTAAAAACATGTACGCATAAGGAAAGGGAAAAAAACATCAAGTTTAGCCCTACCCCATCTATCAATTCATCCTCGCTATCACTTCTCATATAATATCTTAAGTGTAATTTGATTACCCCACCCCTTATACCAGTGCACTTGTATCACCCCCTAATTTTATCAGCCCTGTGTTTAACAGGGAACTAAAGCCGATCCTCTCCATAAAACAGTGAACTAAGGCCGGTCCTCTCCATAAAACAGTGAACTAAGGCGATCCTCTCCATAAAACAGTGAACTAAGGCCGATCCTCTCCATAAAACAGAGAACTAAGGCCGGTCCTCTCCATAAAACAGTGAACTAAGGCCGATCCTCTCCATAAAACAGAGAACTAAGGCCGGTCCTCTCCATAAAACAGTGAACTAAATGCGATCCTTTCTATTTAACAGTGTACTGAGTTCGATTGTAGGAAAAAAAGTCACAGAAAAAAAAAACACAGAAAAAAAGTCACAGGAAAAAAAGTCACAGGAAAAAAAGTCACAAATATATATTTGCATGGGATTTGTTAATACTTTTGTGTATTAAATATTCAGAGAGTGCAAATTAACTTAGGATTAATTAAATGTAATGTAATGTGTGTAGGTTGTATACGTATAGTAATTTTTATAATTCATCTAAAAATATTTAGTATGAATTATGTAGATTGTAATTATGTTAAACATAATATTTATAGCATTTAATAAAATGTCCACGGTTTTCATCGTGTTTTTTTAAATTAAATTACCGTGAAATGGTAAGGTTATCTGAATTACTGCCCTCAACTTATCGCAACAATAGTTACGTTTAGTTCAACCACCTTTACTGCCCACATTTATCACGCTCATTACATAACAAAACTTATGATCAAACCAGAGAGCCGACAAGGTTCAAAGGCTGTCATTGACACAAAACGTCAACAACACAAAATATGTTCGGACAATGCCGACTGAGGAGAGGCCGACTATAGAATAGGCTACTGCAAAACCTATGCAAAAAATTTCTTTTATAGTTAACTTTTCTACCGCGTATGTAACTAAATACGTAACAAAAGTTAAGATTGTTGTGTAAATTATCTTAGAGTATTTTTACTTACTATTTGTATAAACCATAATGCTTTTAACGTCTATAAATAATTTAAGCTATCAAAAAATACAACCCACAACAATAAACATACACAATTTTACAATTCTTAACAAATAAATCAAAATATTTCTAAAAAAATTTCTGTGGCTTTTTTTCTGTGACTTTATTTCTGTGACTTTTTTTTCCGATAAAATTTTTCCATTGTGACTTTTTTTCCTAGCAAAAACTGTGACTTTTTTTCTGTGTTTTTTTTCCTGTGACTTTTTTTCCGTTTACCCTGAGTTCACCCCTCCCCTTTGACTAGCGTGAGTTGCGGACGGTGTACGATGTGGGTGTTTTGGATGGGGTATATGGGGCGTGTTATGTATGGTGTGAGATGAGTTACTGGGGGTGGGGGGGTAGTATGGTTCATGTGATGATGTATTGGTGTATGGCCTGGAGTGTGGTTTATAGTTTTAATGTGTTCTGTACGTTTTGGTATTCTGTTGCAGAGTGGTGTGTGATTTGGTTTACACTGTTGTATGGTATATGTGTGGGATGTAGGGTGGTGTGTACTATAGGGGTGATTAATATTTTCAAAGGGGGGATCAGAGGCGTAGCGACCCTTCCCGGCGTCCGGGGACAAACTTTTCGATTTGCACCCTCCCCCCCTCAAGATTTCGATTTGCACCCCCCCCCCACCCCCTCAAATTTTCTGTTTGCACCCCCCCACCCCCTCAAACTTTCGATTTACACCCCCCTCAACCTTTCAATTTATTTTTTCAACCCATTTTGGCGCCCCCTAAGGTCGGCGCCCGGGGACATATGTCCCCGCCCCCGCCCCCCCCCCCCCTTTCGCTACTGGGGGGGGGGGATGAAAACCTACGGGTAAATAAAATCCACCACTTCGGACTACATATAAAAATATTATAATTTAAATAGAAAATATATACGTTAACCTGTGGCCGCTTCCACAGAAATTTAACTGCACTGACCCCTCAACCGGACGGAGTGGTAGAGAGCTGGTCTGCTAACCCGTAAGTCTCGAGTTTGAATCCGGGTTCAAGTCAGTAGACCGTCCCTGAGTCCACCCAACTCTGATGGGCACCTAACTCACGTTAGAAAAAGTAAAGGTCACAGAAACAAGTGAACTCTACTTCACTTGCCCTATAGACCGTCAGGTTTAAAGAGGGAACTTTGCTTTTATATTTTTACCCCTCAACCCCCCCCCCCCCCCCAAAGTTTATAAAATATCTTAAAGAAAAACTAGATGTGTGTTTCACTGTGCGGTGTATATTTCAAGGTGTCATCTTAGTTATGGGGTGGGTTGTAGGGTGGTGTGGGGTTTATTGTGAAAAATTGTTTATTTTGTTTTGTGTTTATTTTCACAACATAGCTACGCACGGGTATACAAATCGTAAGTTCAGATTGACTTTAATTAAAGACGTGCGATTTTAGTAATAACACGTCGTAAGTATTTCAAATACCCGATATCGATTTTTTTACACACAGGTTATATATAGACTGGTCGCTTATGTGTGAATGACAACTACCTGAAATCGATACCACGGCAGGTAGAAATAAACGTGTTAGTTCCGCATGCTCTGATTAGCACGGCTAGGCAGAGACATAAGACTTAAGTGTTTGTCTTATAAGACTATTCACATGGCGAGGTTCACACAAGTGTATGTTGTATGGTACTAACACGAAGTCTTGCGTTAAGTTGTGAAATACTTCCCTAGTGTGTATGATGAAGGGTACACGTAGGAAGTCTTGCGTTATGTTGTGAAACACTCGAATGTCGTCATATGTCTAACTCAGGAACAGGAAAATGTGTTTTAGATGTGTCACCTTAGCTCTACCTGATATGTATGATTACAACTTGAAGGGATTATTTTAAGAAACAATGTAGTGAAAGTATTTTTATAATCGAGAATTGCAAGTCAAAATGTTAATACCTGATAAGGAAAGCTTGTTTTTTCTGATGTGTTTATTTTTACTTACTCAAGGTAAGAGTTTTAGAAAAGCGTTAAATACCTAAAATAAAGTATGAAAGTATTTTAGAAGATATGCTTATAATGTCTATATACACTTTAAAGTTACAAATTAATTAAAAATTAACGTGTTGGTTTAAAATATATTTAAATACAACAGTTACATTACATTATGTTCACCTACATTTAGACAATGATTCGTTGGTTTATTTCACGACATTTGAGTCACAACACATATAGTCACGAGCACATTACACAGAAAACCACCTAGCACGAACATCGATTGATCGTGATTGATTTATTATGAGTATTGATTAAAACGGATGAGTTAGTGTTGATATTAGTTATAGTGAACTTCGGTTGTTTCCCTTTAGCATGTATTTAAAGCTTATCTCTTGTTTCCATTTTCTAACCTGACATTCCATTTGGCAAGTGAAGTAAAGTTCACATGTTTCTGTGACCTCGACATATAAAAAAAAAAAAATATGGTCAGCACTATGCTCAGCAGACTTTATTTTCGCTAGTTCGGTGCTTATCAGAGCTGGGTGAACTAAGGGACGTTCTACTGACTGTCGTGTTAGCAGTCTAGCGCTCTACCGCTAGGCCACGCTGTCCTATAAGCTTATCTCTAGTCAGCAGTATTTCCTGTATACTAGCAACAACTGGTTATTTCGCTGTTGTAAACTGGACGGTGGCTAAAACAGTGTAGCGTCAGGTATCGATCGATAAATATATCACAGGTACAGGCTAGTAGGTCAGGTTAGGTGACGTCATCAGGTTGTGACAAGCACGGGGGATAGGAAGTGTCGCAAGAATCGGCAGTGTCGTGTCAGGTGTTATGTTTTGACAGGTGTGTTGTGGCAGTTGTCTTAACCTCTGTGTCATGTGTCTCGAGTTACGTGACTTGGGAATGTCTTCAGGCATGTGTCTTGAGTCTGGTGTCTTGTATGCTGTGTCAATGTCTTGAGTGAGGAGTCAGGTGTTATGTTGTAACAGGTATTTAATGGCAGTTGGCTGACAGCAACAACAATCACAACACAAACAACAACAACAACACCAACCACAACACCAACCATAACACCAACAACAACAACAACACCAACAACAACACCAACAACAAACACACCACCCACTGCAACAACAACCACAACACCAACAACAAACACAACACCCACAACAACAACAACAACAACAACACCAACCACAACACCAACAACACTTACGTGTAAACGTTTGCACTGATGTATTACAATTAACATAGAGATTTTTAATAAAATACTGAATTTTGGATCACACCCCTAACATTTCCTTATTGAATGATTTTCATCAACAAACCTCTGTTTTCTTATCCATTGTAACATATCTAAAATCTTTCATTTATTATTTATGTTTTGAGAAATCAAATGAAATAAGGGGAAGTAATTGCAAAATATTTATAGAAAAATATTGCCGTTGGATTAATCCTAACTTTAGTAAAGCAAAAGTATTATGCCCTAAACTTTCTTATATATTACACATTTTAAAAATAGATATGTGTATAAAAAAAACAACTACGCACCAAAGGAACGTAAGTGTGTATAATAGAGTGGACCATTTGTGCTTTACAAAGCAAACATTGATTTATTTAAAAAAAAATAATTTAGCTTATAATTAGCCAAATTAAATGTCACAATGCTTTGTCATCGAGTCTAGGACTACGTGAAAAGCTTTTAAGAATTCTGAAACAGCCTAAAGTCAGCCTAAAGTCAGACACACTGAAAAAATTGGAAACGATTTTTTTTTACACTGGGAAGTGCAAAACATCGAGATTTGTGAAATCTCGATTTCGATTTTTCGAACGATAACAATACTTCCTCTATACTTCGTGTACAAGAAAGTAAAAATAAAATTAAAACTATTTGTTTCTTTTTTTAGCAAAATCAAAATTATGTCACAGAAAAGACGATTTTAAACTGATTGAGACGGAGCTAGGAACGAATCCAAGCGCGACAATATGTGTTCACACGACTAACCACAGCCATCACCAGCCTATAGTGAGCTACGACAACACCAACTACACAGAATACACCAACTCTAGCGGGTTCCACTTCACCATCGACAACAACACATCCTCACACCATCTGTACCACCTGCACTTTAAGAACATCTCAGTGCTGGACTACAGGCTACATCACGTGATCATCTACAACCTGGGCCAGGAGCCGGTGGTGGTGGACGTCTTCATACAGCCGACAGGTGAGGTCATAGACAGGTGAGGTCATAGACAGGTGAGGTCATAGACAGGTGAGGTCATACAGCCGACAGGTGAGGTCATAGACAGGTGAGGTCATAGACAGGTGAGGTCATACAGCCGACAGGTGAGGTCATAGACAGGTGAGGTCATACAGCCGACAGGTGAGGTCATAGACAGGTGAGGTCATAGACAGGTGAGGTCATACAGCCGACAGGTGAGGTCATAGACAGGTGAGGTCATAGACAGGTGAGGTCATACAGCAGACAGGTGAGGTCATAGACATGTGAGTTCATAGACAGGTGAGGTCATAGACAGGTGAGGTCATACAGCCGACAGGTGAGGTCATAGACACGTGAGGTCATACAGCCGACAGGTGAGGTCATAGACAGGTGAGGTCATAGACAGGTGAGGTCATAGACAGGTGAGGTCATAGACAGGTGAGGTCATAGACAGGTGAGGCCATAGACAGGTGAGGTCATACAGCCGACAGGTGAGGTCATACAGCCGACAGGTGAGGCCATAGACAGGTGAGGTCATAGACAGGTGAGGTCATAGACAGGTGAGGTCATAGACAGGTGAGGTCATAGACAGGTGAGGTCATAGACAGGTGAGGTCATACAGCCGACAGGTGAGGTCATACAGCCGACAGGTGAGGTCATACAGCCGACAGGTGAGGTCATACAGCCGACAGGTAAGGTCATACAGCCGACAGGTGAGGCCATAGACAGGTGAGGTCATAGACAGGTGAGGTCATACAGCTTCAGGTGAGGTTATAGACAGGTGAGGTCATAGACAGGTGAGGTCATACAGCCGACAGGTGAGGTCATAGGTGAGGTCATAGACAGGTGAGGTTATACAGCCGACAGGTGAGGTCATACAGCCGACAGGTAAGGTCATACAGCCGACAGGTGAGGCCATAGACAGGTGAGGTCATAGACAGGTGAGGTCATACAGCTTCAGGTGAGGTCATACAGCCGACAGGTGAGGTCATACAGCCGACAGGTGAGGTCATACAGCCGACAGGTGAGGTCATACAGCCGACAGGTAAGGTCATACAGCCGACAGGTGAGGTCATAGACAGGTGAGGTCATAGACAGGTGAGGTCATAGACAGGTGAGGTCATAGACAGGTGAGGCCATAGACAGGTGAGGTCATACAGCCGACAGGTGAGGTCATACAGCCGACAGGGTAGGTCATACATCCGACAGGTAAGGTCATACAGCCGACAGGTGAGGTCATAGGTGAGGTCATACAGCCGACAGGTGAGGTCATACAGCCGACAGGTGAGGTCATAGGTGAGGTCATACAGATGACAGGTGAGGTCATACAACTTAAAGGTGAGGTCATAGACAGGTGAGGTCATAGACAGGTGAGGCCATAGACAGGTGAGGTCATACAGCCGACAGGTGAGGTCATACAGCCGACAGGTTAGGTCATACAGCCGACAGGTGAGGTCATAGGTGAGGTCATACAGCCGACAGGTGAGGTCATGTAGCCGACAGGTGAGGTCATAGGTGAGGTCATACAGATGACAGTTGAGGTCATACAACTTAAAGGTGAGGTCATACAGCCGACAGGTGAGGTCATACAGCCGACAGGTGAGGTCATACAGCCGACAGGTGAGGTCATACAGCCGACAGGTTAGGTCATACAGCCGACAGGTGAGGTCATAGGTGAGGTCATACAGCCGACAGGTGAGGTCATGTAGCCGACAGGTGAGGTCATAGGTGAGGTCATACAGATGACAGGTGAGGTCATACAACTTAAAGGTGAGGTCATACAGCCGACAGGTGAGGTCATACAGCCGACAGGTGAGGTCATACAGCCGACAGGTGAGGTCATACAGCCGACAGGTAAGGTCATACAGCCGACAGGTGAGGTCATAGACAGGTGAGGTCATAGACAGGTGAGGTCATAGACAGGTGAGGTCATAGACAGGTGAGGCCATAGACAGGTGAGGTCATACAGCCGACAGGTGAGGTCATACAGCCGACAGGGTAGGTCATACATCCGACAGGTAAGGTCATACAGCCGACAGGTGAGGTCATAGGTGAGGTCATACAGCCGACAGGTGAGGTCATACAGCCGACAGGTGAGGTCATAGGTGAGGTCATACAGATGACAGGTGAGGTCATACAACTTAAAGGTGAGGTCATACAGGTCTTATATATATAATGTGAGGTATTAAACGGTAATGTAGCATTTTGAGTACGTTTTTAGCTTTTCATTTTATTAAAGAGGAACAAACTCTTGTCATTAATGAAATTGACAAACATATTGCAGTTTGATTCTTTGTTTCACCTTATGGTCATCACGTGATCCCCCCCCCCCCCCCCCCCATTCCCCCCGCCACTTACACTAGTCATTACACCTTGTCTAAAACCATCCAACAGATTATGATGGCGACTGGTCGATGTTCCTGGCTGTCTATCTGACCACTGGATTTTTCCTGATGGCAGTACTCACACTGGCATGTACCCTCCACGAGAAAGGTTAGTGATGGCAGTACTCACACTGGCATGTACCCTCCACGAGAAAGGTTAGTGATGGCAGTACTCACACTGGCATGTACCCTCCACGAGAAAGGTTAGTTCAGTTGAAATAAAAAAAGGTCGGTGGTAAAGTTCATGGTTGCTAAACCAAAAAGTCTTGAGTTCGAACCCTCGGGCAAATGAGCCTGGAGACAACTCCAAAATCAAACAACTGCTGCCTTGTAATTTGTTCTTGATTGGACAAAGGCTATGGAAGCAAATCCTAAAAAAAAGCAGGCTGAAATCGGAGTCAATAGTCTATATGGGGCATACCCAGTTGACACGTATACTTTATTGTGTTAGAGGGAAACCCTTTCAATACTAACATTTAAGAACGAAGAAGAAAAATTCGTAATAAAGATATGGAGCGTCGAGAAAGTACATAATTTTTAGGACTAGAAATGGATCAACTCATATATTAAGTTTGTTATTAAAAGAAGCCCAAATGATATATTTACACTTTACTTGCCCTATGGGCCGCTAAGTTAGAAAGAAACTTTATTATGGCATTACAAGGAGCCACCGATTTAATGTGTTTCATTTTCTATTATTCTGTTATAGAAAGCTACACAATTATTGCTTTAGAATATCAGTGTTTGTTTTCTTAAGTAGTTCTTAGTGTGTGCTTGTGTGCGTGAGCGTGTGTGTGTGTTTTCGTTTGTCGTAATTAAAAACTTCTAACAAAATAAAGATTGTTACGAATTTAGAAATATGGTGTGTTTTTTTTTCCAGCGCTCTGCTTCAATAAAAAAGTCAGAAACAAGCAAAGACAGGTCAGGGTACACGACAAGAAGCTTCACTATACACAAGGTAAATATATTGATGGTAGTAAGGCTTTATTGGCGTGATGTTGTGTTGATGAATGTTAAACTTGATCGTTGTTGTGTTTTCGTGTGTGAATGTTACTGCTGGAGAAAGGGGGAGGGGGGGGGGGTAACACCTCAAGAAGAAAGAGTTGATACCATACCTAAATTACATAGTTACGGTATGTGATATAAGAAAGGCAATGTAATTAATTACAAAGTATACGTCATACAGTTCTGTTCTACCACAGCTATACGTAGTCAATATTGTTATAATCAATACAAACTTGCATACACCGCATGCTGGATCTATTGTTGCCAGATTAAATTACGTTCAGTCTCGACTAATACTTCAGTCTAATTGTCTTAGATCAGACATCTTGTAGAGGAAAGTGTTGGGGGGGGGGGGGGGCGGAGTAAAGTCGTTGGCGAGCTTCGTCGTCCAACAACCACAATACTAACAACAATCACAACAACACCAACAACAACACCAACAACAACCACAACAACAACATTTTGATGACAGTGCCGCAAGAAATCGTAATGTGACACAAAATATTCGTATTTTGATACAAGCTAAACGTGTCCCCTGTTTTCTATTCCAAATTTTGATTTATTTGATCCAAATCGTTTGACTTAAATAAACGTAATGTGCAACAAAATACTGACTTGTTTTATGAGCCGTGAAAATATCAGCGTTTGTAAGTTAGTGTGTCTGACAGAATATGTGCACACAAGATCACTGATTCGGAACTAGTGATACAAATTCTGATATACAGCACATACGATTTTGTGAGATTATAATAATCGGTGATTTATTAAAACACATTTTAATGAGCTTGTTGTTATTTCTTCGGAGAATTAAATGTTTCAGTTGAACGAGTAATTGTGTGTACGTGTTATATTGAAGGCTATTTTATTTTCAATATTTTCTAAATGAATCACATCTCTTTACTTGTACATTTGTTTACAGTGCAAACTATGACCAACGGACAGGATACTTTACCCCTAACACGTCAGTGAGAAGATAGTTTGCTGTACAGCAGAGATAGAAATATAGAACCCAAGGGTGGGAATGGGAAGAAATGAGGTACAACAGGCAGAGTAAATATGGAAAGAGGGAGTGATCGATGACAACTGAATGCAGGAAGTTAGCGAAAAGTGAAACATGAACATAATGAGTTGACGATGAAAAAACTGTCAATAATAAAGTATTCAGATTGGCAATGAATGATGGAGCATTGAAACAGATAGTGAATAATGGAGCATTGAAACAGGTGCTCAATGTTGGAGCAACGTTTGAGAGTTAGAGAAATGTGTGAATGATTGAGCTCTATCAGATAGCACAAAAAGCTTTGAGACAATGATAACTAGCGAAGCATATCATACATCCACAAAACAATCATTTCAAATTTCCTAGAGGATTTTCTGTATATATTTTGTCTCATCGAAGCAGCGTCTGATGTTAATGTGTAATTTGTCATCTCTTTTTGTTTAAAGTCAGTCATTAGCTGAATTGTCAGTCTAGCTCACATAAGATACACTTTTTGCTTTCTGAGTTATACATTTATTTTGTTTTATCTACAATCATTAGCCATAGATATCTATACGTATTACTGATGTTCAAGCACCCTATGTGAAAGACATAGTGCCCTAGTTTCTCTGAATTCAGTATATGAACATATGCAGAGATACGGGACTATGCACTATTCACCGGTATCTTTACGTTCTCCATCTGATGTTGGGTACCCGTAGGGCTGTGTGGACTCAGTGAGTTAGACGAGCGTAATTTAAACTCTTCGTTTTTAGAAATATAATGCATTTTAATGATCATGTTAAATATTCATTGCTATTTGTTTTAATAAACGGCCTTAAAAGAACAACTAACCATGCTTTATTCAAATATGTTAAATGTTTTTCGTATGGAATTTCACCCCTTACCCCTATAAATAGGCCTACAACATGAAATGCATTAATTAAACATAAGTTGTGTTAATCCTTTAAAAAAAAAACAACAGCCGCTGCAGATTGTGTTCTTTGATCACTCAAGCCCTCTGCTGCCATTTTTACCGTTTTTTCATGTCAAGCTGTGTAGTCTTCATTAGAGAATACTTTTACCTCTTTCATTCCCCTACGGAATTTTAAGTGCATACTTTTTATGTTTTAAGTCGCCGTCCTCCCCCCCCCCCCTCGCCGAATGAAAAAAATATATACTTTTACCTGTTTCATTCGCCTACGGAATTTTAAGTGCATCCTATTTATGTTTTAAGTCGCCGTCTATTCCCCCCCCCCATGGGAAATAAATGTCTGAAAGAAACCTTGTCCATGACCTATCATCTAAGTATCTGGTGCCACCCCAAAGATTCCACCCCTGTCTCACGAGTCACGTTAGAGCTTTAACTGTTCACTTTAGGTATACTTAAAACATTTTTTTTTGTATTTCGAGTGTAACAAGTCGAATATCCTTTATCGATTTTTTTAAAGACACGGGTTATATACTATTCATGGCACTTTAATGTGACTGACTTCTCTTTGAAGTCGACAGCACAGCAGGTAGAAAGAAAACAGTTGTATTGCCGCATGCTCTAATTAACACTGCTGTATATCGCTAGCACTAGACATACTTGTTTATCTTATAACTCTAGTCACATGTACGGCGTTCACCCAAGCGTGTCTGTTGTCGGTTATATTCAGCAAGTTGTGTGTTCAGTGCTTAAACACTTACATGTCTTCAAATCTTGTAACTCAGAAACAGGAACATGTGTTTTAGATGTGTCACTATACGCCTACTTTAAATGTAGAATTACAACTTGGAGGTTTTATCAATGGATATAGTTAAAGTACTTTTCTAATCGAGAACCGCAAGTCAAAATGTTAATACCTGATATGCAAAGCCTGTTTTTCCTGATGAGTTTATTTTCACTTACACAAGGTAGGAATTTTAGAGTATCGTTAAATAGACCTACTTAGAAGACATATGTCAACATATAATTATTAAGTGATAAATTAATGCATTACTTTAAAATGTATGTTCTAAAAACACAACGTATAAACGACATCCGTTTCATAACATTATGATCACCTACATACAATGATCCATTTTTACTTTCTCGTATAGAGAAAGTCTTGTAATCGTGCAAAAAAAAAAAAAAAAAAATCGAGATTTTTACAAATCTCGACGTTTTACACCTCACTGATACGGAAAAAACATAATTTTGCAATCTTGTCCGTATGTCTGTGTGTCTGTCTGTGTGTCTGTGTGTCTGTCTGTGTGTAAACACGATAACTTGAGTACCGTTACAGCTAGGTTGATGAAATTTCATATATAAGTATTTTATCAAAATCGTAGATACTGATCAACTTTTGAGCGATTTCCGATAACCGGAAGTGGTACTTTTTCTACTTTGAATTTTTCAAAAGCCTATAACTTGAGTACTATTTCAGATAGATAAATGAAATTTCACATCTAAGTAAAAGATTTAATTCTCTACCTTCTGTCAGATTTTGAGTAATTTCCGTTGACGGGAAGTACTAATTTACGCTATTTCCGATTTCTCAAAAAACGCATGTAAATTTATAAAGAACTAATAATATAGCGCACTATTATGCACATTCATTTGGCGTTCACTTGGTGTGCAATTCTTATTTCTACGAGATTTTATTCTATTTTAAAAACTTTAAGTATTTAAAATGAAGTTCCAATCCCCTGTTGTTTTATATAAGAATATTTGAGAAAGTTTAGGGGAGATCACTCCCGGTTTATTTATGTATGATTCATTTATTGATAGATGCACTACAAGCATGTTTTAGTTAATTGAGAATAAATCATTCATTACTTTATCGTACGACCATTGTGTCACAACATATGTTATGAATACATTGACTTTTTGAAAAAATAAACTAGATCGAGCTTAAAGTGATCATGATTGATTTTTCAGGGGTATTGGTTAAAACGTATACGTCAAATTAGCTTTCAGCTATGTTATAGGGAACTTTGGTTGCTTCCCTTTAACATGTATTTGAAGATTATCCATAGTTCCCTTTTCAAACCTGACAGTCCATTTTACAAGTGAAGTAGAGTTAACCTCTTTGTACAGTCAGCGCTGTACCCAGCCGACTTTACTTTCCCTAACGTGAGTTCGATGCTCGCCAGTACACATCATACATTTCTACTAATTTAAACCAGGATTCGAACTCACGGGTTAGCAGTCTAGCGCTCTACCTCTATGCCTCACTGTCCCACTAACAAATCTGTAGTAAGCATTTTCCCCCCAAAAATAGCAAGGATAGAACGATATGTTATTTAGCTGTGTAAACTAGATAGTAGCCAAAGCTGATCCACTAGTCTAAGCCATGTGAACTGGTTAAACGTCAAGCGTAGCTGGGTAGCCCCAGGTAGCTGATGTGTAGCAGGGTAGCTGATGTGTAGCAGGGTAGCTGATGTGTAGCAGGGTAGCAGTGTGGCGTCAGATGTAGCAGGGTAGCACCAGGTAGCTAATGTGTAGTAGGGTAGCACCAGGTAGCTAATGTGTAGCAGGGTAGCACCAGGTAGCTAATGTGTAGCAGGGTAGCACCAGGTAGCTAATGTGTAGCAGGGTAGCCACAGGTAGCTAATGTGTAGCAGGGTAGCACCAGGTAGCTGATGTGTAGCAGGGTAGAACTAGTTAGCTGATGTGTAGCAGGGTAGCACCAGGTAGCTGATGTGTAGCAGGGTAGCACCAGGTAGCTGATGTGTAGCAGGGTAGAACTAGTTAGCTGATGTGTAGCAGGGTAGCACCAGGTAGCTGATGTGTAGCAGGGTAGCAGGGTAGCTGATGTGTAGCAGGGTAGCACCAGCTAGCTGATGTGTAGCAGGGTAGCAACAGGTAGCTGATGTGTAGCAGGGTAGCACCAGGTAGCTTATGTGTAGCAGGGTAGCACCAGCTAGCTGATGTGTAGCAGGGTAGCTGATGTGTAGTAGGGTAGCACCAGGTAGCTGATGTGTAGCAGGGTAGCTGATGTGTAGCAGGGTAGCCCCAGGTAGCTGATGTGTAGCAGGGTAGCACCAGGTAGCTGTTGTGTAGCAGGGTAACACCAGGTAGCTGATGTGTAGCAGGGTAGCACCAGGTAGCTAATGTGTCGCAGGGTAGCACCAGGTAGCTGATGTGTAGCAGGGTAGCTGATGTGTAGCAGGGTAGCACCAGGTAGCTGATACAGCAGTGTGGCGTCAGATAGCGATCAATTAATTTATGCAATACACAAAGTACAGGCTGTCAGTAGGTCAGGCTAGGTGACGTCATGAGAAAGTGACAAGCACGGATAGAAACTGTCTTAAGAATCGACTGTGTCGCTTCGTGTCAGGTATCAGGTGTTGTGTTTTATCAGGAGCATTGTGTTTACTTTATTGTGTCTTATGCCAGGTGTCTTTTGTCTTGTGCCAGGTGTCTTTTGTCTTGTGTCAGGTGTCTTGTGTCAGGTGTCTTGGGCCAGGTGTCTTGAGTCAGATGCCTTGTCTGTGGTTGTATGTGTCTTGTGTCATGTGTCTCGTCGTGCCTGTTGAGTCAGCTGTCTTGAGTCAGGTGTCTTGGGCCAGGTGTCTTGAGTCAGGTGTCTTGTCTGTGGTTGTATGTGTCTTGTGTCATGTGTCTCGTCGTGCCTGTTGAGTCAGCTGTCTTGAGTCAGTTGTCTTAATTCATGTGTCTAGAGTCTGGTGTCTCTAGTCATGTGTCTTGTGTCAGGTGTCTTGAGTCATGTCTCTTGAGTCAGTTGTTTTGAGTCAGTTGTCTTAAGTCATGTGTATAGTCAGGTGTCTTTAGTCATGTGTCTTGTGTCAGGTGTCTTTAGTCGTGTGTCTTGTGTCAGGTGTCTTTAGTCGTGTGTCTTGTGTCAGGTGTCTTGAGTCAGGTGCTATGTTTTATCAGGTGTCTTGTAGCTGGTGTCTTGAGTCACGTGTCTTGCCTATTGCCAGATGTTTTTATCGCAACATGTGTCTTAACATATGTCGCGTTTTAGTACTAAACAACCACAATACCATCAGTACTTACAACATTAACAATTTGACAACACCTGTTGTATAAAATTAACATAGCAAGACACTTCAAATAGGTTGACTTGGTAAGAACGACTAAATTTTAGATCTTATCAGGTGAACTCATCCCATCTGTTTACTAATTTATTGATTTTTTTTTTCTTTATGTAGCAAAACCTAGCCTACCTGTAACATACGTTTAGCTTCTACTATTTTTTTTCAACTATAACATTTAATTCTAAATGTAGGCTAATTTAGCATACTAAATAACGGTATGTAGATTAAACCAATTGTTTGAAAAGGTGTCGTTTCCTTTTCCACCGTAACATATCTATCACTAACATGTATGTTTTGAGAAATCGAATTCAAAACAGGGGAAAGTAATCGCAAAAGGTTTTTAACTTAATTATCTTTTTTGGAAGTATATCTCAATAAACAGAATAAAGAGAAAAATAATTTTTTACCTTTTTAGCAAAATCAAAGCTGTGTCATAGGAAAGAAGGTTTTAAACTGATTCAGACGGAGCTAGGAAAGAATCCAACCACAACAATATGCCTTCGCGCGACTAAAAACAACCCACTCCAGCCCGTGGTGAGGTACGACAACAGCAACTACACACAGAACAGCAACTCTAGCGGGTTCTACTTCACTGTCGACAACAGCACCGCTTCCCGCGACCTGTACCGACTTTATTTTAAAAACATCTCCGTACAGGACTACAAGTTGCATCGTGTGGTCATTTACAACATAGGTCAGGTGCCGGTGATGGTGGACGTCTTCATACAGCCGACAGGTGAGGTCATAGACAGGTGAGGTCATAGACAGGTGAGGTCATACAGCCGACATGTGAGGTCATAGGTGAGGTCATAGACAGGTGAGGTCATACAGCCGACATGTGAGGTCATAGGTGAGGTCATAGACAGGTGAGGTCATACAGCCGACAGGTGAGGTCATAGACAGGTGAGGTCATACAGCCGACAGGTGAGGTCATAGGTGAGGTCATAGACAGGGGAGGTCATATAGTCACAGGTGAGGTCATAAAGCTGACAGGTGAGGTCATACACTATATATGTAAGGTCATACAGTCAACATATGAGGTCATACATACAAGAAGTTTACATATTTGTATACAAACATTATTATTTGTTGCTTTTTGAGTTCCTATTAGTTTTTTGCCTTTGGGCATATGAAGTATAGTTTATATGTTTCTTGACCTCGGTATATGATGGGAGGGTGTGCCCAGTCGCCTTTATTTTCCCTAAAGTGAGTTAGTGAACATGCTGGGCACCCGGACGTTCTACTCACTTCAACCCCGAATCGAACTGGAGTCTTTCGTGTTTGCAGCTTTAGCCACACGGTCGGTACTTTTTTGACTTTTGTTAGTTTTAATGTGATAGCTGTTTACCGCCTTATGAGAATAGGATAAGATTTAGATGCAGTCTAACCCTTCTGTTTCAATTGGTTATCAGAATAGGATAAGATTTAGATGCAGTCTAACCCTTCTGTTTCAATTGGTTATCAGAATAGGATAAGATTTAGATGCAGTCTAACCCTTCTGTTTCAATTGGTTATCAGAATAGGATAAGATTTAGATGCAGTCTAACCCTTCTGTTTCAATTGGTTATCAGAATAGGATAAGATTTAGATGCAGTCTAACCCTTCTGTTTCAATTGGTTATCAGAATAGGATAAGATTTAGATGCAGTCTAACCCTTCTGTTTCAATTGGTTATCAGAATAGGATAAGATTTAGATGCAGTCCAACCCTTCTGTTTCAATTGGTTATCAGAATAGGATAAGATTTAGATGCAGTCTAACCCTTCTGTTTCAATTGGTTATCAGAATAGGATAAGATTTAGATGCAGTCTAACCCTTCTGTTTCAATTGGTTATCAGAATAGGATAAGATTTAGATGCAGTCTAACCCTTCTGTTTCAATTGGTTATCAGAATAGGATAAGATTTAGATGCAGTCTAACCCTTCTGTTTCAATTGGTTATCAGAATAGGATAAGATTTAGATGCAGTCTAACCCTTCTGTTTCAATTGGTTATCAGAATAGGATAAGATTTAGATGCAGTCTAACCCTTCTGTTTCAATTGGTTATCAGAATAGGATAAGATTTAGATGCAGTCTAACCCTTCTGTTTCAATTGGTTATCAGAATAGGATAAGATTTAGATGCAGTCTAACCCTTCTGTTTCAATTGGTTATCAGAATAGGATAAGATTTAGATGCAGTCTAACCCTTCTGTTTCAATTGGTTATCAGAATAGGATAAGATTTAGACGCAGTCTAACCCTTCTGTTTCAATTGGTTATCAGAATAGAATAAGATTTAGATGCAGTCCAACCCTTCTGTTTCAATTGGTTATCAGAATAGGATAAGATTTAGATGCAGTCTAACCCTTCTGTTTCAATTGGTTATCAGAATAGAATAAGATTTAGATGCAGTCCAACCCTTCTGTTTCAATTGGTTATCAGAATAGGATAAGATCTAGATGCAGTCCAACCCTTCTGTTTCAATTGGTTATAAGAATAGAATAAGATTTAGATGCAGTCCAACCCTTCTGTTTCAATTGGTTATTTCTCTTAATATAACATCACCGTCTAGTCGTATTTAGAAGATTCGTCCGTAACCTATCATTAAATCAGCTTTTAATACATTTACTTTATATAGGAATTTAAACATTTATGAAAGTATCATATACATTGTAGCACATTTCTTTACACCACAGACTTTCCGCAATTTTGTTTCACCCTTCTGTTATCAAGTAATTCCCCCCCCCCCCCCCCACCCCCACCCTTTCTTACTCCTGTCATCACCACCTTTATTAAACCATCCCACAGATTATGACGGTGATTGGACCGAATTTCTAACCGTCTACCTTTACACGGGAGGTTGTCTGCTGTTTGTTTTATTCATGGCGTGTATAATCAACGAGAAAGGTTAGTGTGAGACAAAATTAAATCACGGAGCGGAGAGAAAGTAGATCATTTTGAGGAATAGAAATAGATAAGCTTAAATTCTGCTTATAATTAGGGGAATACCAAGAAATTTGTTTGTGATTTGGTCGTCACATCGCTTGTTCCATGGGCCGTTAGGCTTGAACTGATCTTTACTTAAATAATAATGGTATTACTAAGAGTCACATATTTATTGTGTTAGATTTTCTGTTGTTTTTTTAATTTTCCTAATATTTGCCGTCAAAATCTATTTTTGAAAAATTAATTAATTTTTAAAAATATTATTTCAGAACCTATATTAATTTTTTTTTTAAATTATCGAAAGTTACACAAATCGTTGGATAGGAATACCGGTGTGTATGTTCTGATCTGTATTGTCTTTGTGTGTGTGTTTTGTTTTCGTCTTTATTGAAAACATTTCTCCCATTAAAAGGCAGTTAATACTTCAATTTCAGGAGTTATTAGTTAATAATTTATTTTTTCAGTTCTCTGTTGCCATCCGAAAGTCACAAATTGGGTGAGGCAGATTTTTGTAAAAGACAAGAAACTTCAATATACACAAGGTGAGTATATTAGGGGTGGTAGATGGATATGTTAGAGGTGGTAGATGAGTATATTAGAGGTGGTAGATGAGTATATTAGAGGTGGAAGATGAATATATTAGAGGTGGTAGATGAGTATATTAGAGGTGGAAGATGAATATATTAGTGGTGGAAGATGAGTATATTAGGGGTGGTAGATGAGTTTATTAGAGGTGGTAGATGGATATATTAGAGGTGGAAGATGAATATATTAGTGGTGGAAGATGGATATATTAGAGGTGGTAGATGAATATATTAGAGGTGGTAGATGAATATATTAGAGGTTTTAGATGAATATATTAGAGGTGGTAGATGAATATATTAGAGGTGGTAGATGAATATATTAGAGGTGGTGTATGAATATATTAGAGGTGGTGGATGAATAGAGGTGGTGGATGAATATATTAGAGGTGGTAGATGAATATATTGCAGGTGGTAGATGTATATAATAGAGGTGGTGAGGTTTTAATAACACGACTTTATCGAGTTTAATGTTTAAGTTTATCTTTGCTATGCTTCTTATGTGTGCGTGTTGTTGGTTGGGGGGTGGCTTTAGCCATAACAAGATGTACATTTTATATCTTACCTAAATCACATATTGCATATGGCATTACAATGGTAGTGTTATTAATTATACCGCATGCTCAATACCTTTGTATTGTACAGTAGGTGTATCTAGTTAATATTTTTTTGTCAAAATACGACCAGCACACAAAACGCGTCGTCTCTTTTACTGCCATAGAAAATACTAATCAGACTCGACTAGTAATGCAGTCAGCCGGTGGTTGCCAAGACAACGTGTAGAGTATAGGGTTTCTTTCAGACATTTTTCTCAAGGGATCGGGCACTTAAACTTTCCGGGGATAGGGACGCTGGTTAAAGTATATATTTTTTTAGTTAAAACATTTTTTTTTAAAATCACAATTTGTGTGAACATTTTACGTCCACACCAACATTTAACTGAGTTTCCATGATGTATTTTATTATGTTTTCACGGTGCTTCGTTAATTACCTAGTATTTTAACACACTTATTATCTATCGTATTGATGGCGGAAAAATGTATTTAAAGCATTTGAGCGTACCTACTATGTTGATCCACATTAAATCCTAAAAGTGTGAATGAATGTTATTTTTCTGTACGTATACTTCGATACCATCTCCCCCCACACCCCATATATTTGCATAAGCTTTCTGAACCAGTCCACCTATAATTAAGTTCACATATACATGATGACATGATGCCATATAGAAAGACCTGACCAGTCAAGTTCCTGCTAGTTATGACACATCAGAGTTTTAAAAAATGGAATTCTGTAGGGCCATCTAAATAAATCACTCTCAAAGGTAGAAGAAGAATTGGACGAAATCCAACTCTATGTGCTCAACATTGATGGAATAAAGTATGACTCCGGGTGCTTTTCTCTTCTTCAGAATAATTTTAAAAAAAGCAAAATAAAAAATCAACTGGTCAGCAGAATGTTCGATTTATTCACTTAAAAAGTACGTGCGACCAGGGGCGTAGCGAGGGGTGGGGGCGGGGGTTGCGGACCGCATCTGGTGACACCATTTAGGGGGGTGACACCAAGGCAAAAAATTGCAAAATATATAGAGAAAAGCTTGAGGGGAAATCGAAAGTTTGAGGGGGGGTGCAAATCGAAAACTTGAGGGGGGGGGGGGTGCAAACCGAAAGTTTGAGGGGGGGGGGGGAGTGCAAATCGAAAACTTGGGGGGGGGTGGGGTGACACCATTAAGTGCCGCATCGGGTGACACCTGACCTTGCTACGCCACTGCGTGTGACCCCGGTACTTCAGGGACCGTGGCCCACATTAGTTACATATTTGTTACTCCACTGGTTTTATGTTGTAAGCCTTTTTTAAAACATTATTGGCAAATTAATCCTTTCTCATAACTAATACAATTGCTTACAGTGCAAACTAAGAATACCAGACACGATACATCGCCACTTAGAACTATATGAAACCAGAGTTTACAGTGAAGGAAGGAGGAAACACGTAAACAGAGTGTGGAGAAGGAAATAGGGAGCGAGAGAGGATACAATGAAAGATACAACAAGAAGAGAGTAATCATGAAAAGAAAGGGTTGACCGAGCAATGGATCAGAATTTAAATTTGAATTTTAAAAACTAATAAGAAAAGCTTTGGCCGTTATATTATGCATCTAGTACCTGACTAGAATTTAAGAAGCGTCAAAATATTTAAAGAAAAAACTTTTATTTTCTTTGTTATTAAAACGATTTTTTATGCATTTTATCTTAGCACTTTGAAAATTTTTAATACAATTGAGTTGCCAAATTATTGCGCACTAGATGAACACGAAAAAATAGCGCGATAAAATCACTTTGTAATGGAAATTTTAATTAATTCTTTAAAAATTAATTATGCATCCAATTAAATTGATTTTGGGTGGTTTTCTTTATTAAGCATTGAATAGATTCACTAGGATTTAAGAAGTGACCCAAGCTTTTATTTTTTTAAATAGTAGCTCATTTTATATATTTAAAGAAATTCATGCATATTTTTCCCTTTTAGTGTATCTATATCTATAGAGAGTTTTTCCCCTCACAGCCTAAATTAGATCGAACACGTACAGCCAAGTATTTGGGAAATTGTTCGTGACAAAGTAGGCTATTTAAATTCAATATAACGGGAAAACTATAGCCATCTCAATAATGACCGACAACTGACCTAGACTGACCGCGGCCTTATTTTAACTATATATTTTTAAAGTGATTGAATTAGATCATCCACTTTCAGAAGCGACCTAAACTAAATATTTCGTATGGAGATAGCTCTAATCCCGTAAGTACCTGGAAAAATATTTAAAAAATTCACAAGTATCACATTACGGGGTTGAAAATTAACTTGTTAAACCGCTAGATTTATTTCCCCCGTTCTTTGATAACATAAAAATTAACGAAAAAAAAATTGGGTAAAAGAAAAAAAAATGATTTCAAATTTATTCTTAATTGTTTTTAAAATAGCTGTTAAAAATTAATTAATAATTTAATAATAATTAAATTGTTGAATGATGGCTGGTGTAAACAAAGCGAAAACGTCACAGATAAACAATAAAGTTCATAAGTGCGATTCGTGCACCAGGGTATGACACTACTCCATTCCTGTTAATTAATTACCCTCGGCTATTTTACCAACGTCATAACCCCCAGTTCAATTACCCCCTTGTTAATTATCCCACCTCCCAGGACATTATCCCTACCCACCGGTTAGGATAACGAGAGCGGTAACGGTAATGATAGGATATGATAAAGAATATGTAGAGTGAAGATTAAAAATAAGCATATGGTTTTGGTCAGGAATAGAGTTAAGGCTTTGGATATGGCTATTGGGAAAAAAAAGGGATAGGTATTGGTATAATATGTATTGTGCAGTGGGGTAATTAATTACACAGGTGGTAATTGACAGGAGGTAACTGATCTTGGGGCTACTGATTGAATGAAGGCAGGGGGAGGGGTTAACGACTTTCATCCAGGGATGGTGTAGTAGGGGCAACACTCTTACACCTAGATTAATGATGTCACATTTCGGATACAATTAGAGAAGAATTCTAGTTCTATGCTTAATTTTAAGTTAGAGTTTAAATATTATCGACGATTATGCACAAATTATTTAACATTGTATACACTCTGGTAGCTTTTGTTTGTGTAGTTGATATTAAGTATGCTGCATAACTTCTGATATTTTTTTCATTTTTTTTTTCGTTAACGTTTACTTTGTTACGCTTTACAATTGTTTTCATGTATGGTGTAAAAAGCTATATATTCTTACATGATATTATTCTAATATTTTATTGTTTGTACATTTTAATTCTATAATTTTGGTTTGTTGCTCACAAGGAGAGTGAAAACAATTAACAATTAGATTTCATTTTTTATTTATTTTACTCTAATGCTTATTATATGTGTGTAACGAACTGTGATATTGGGAAATGGCGGCATTTTGTAATGCTCTTTATTTTTTTCTTTAAAAATTATTTAAAAAAACAACACATTTATATGCATTTTGACATTTTTATTTGGGAATGGCTATAAATGGCTGTGGTAAAGTAAAACCTTGATATTAAAACATTTTTATGGAATTTTTTTAGTTGTTAAAAATGTGTTAATACAAAAGAGTTGGAAGACTAACTAAAACAAAGGCGCACTAAATGAACACGAAAAATATACTTATAATAGCGCGTTAAATAGTAGTGTATATTAGAAATTTAAGTTTAATTAATCATTTAAAAATAATTAAGCATACAATTAAGTCAAATCTGATGTCAGATTGCGATGTCGTCTGGCCTTTACCCATTGCCAAGTTTCAGAGAAATTGCTCGTTTAGAATATTGTCAAAATTTCGCTCGCGAGTTTTGATCCATGACTACAAAAAGCAAAACAAAAGCACGGCAGTCAGACAGAGGAAAAAAGTTAGTTATAAAAGCTAGTCAAAAAATGTAGGCATACTTCGTGTAATTAATTTAATAATTTAAAAACATATTACAAATATTTTAAAAATATAATTTATGAAATATTTCCAATAGTAAAACTACAACAATAATTATTTAATATGTGTACTTTTGGGTATGATAACTATCTTAAGATTTGTTAACTTCACAATGGTAATCAAAGGTTGAGAAAACTTATTTTGTTTTAATGCAAAGTGTGAAAAACCAAAGGATACTACCGTACTTTGCTCCAAATGTTAGGACGAAGAAACTGCAGTAGTAAAATCACGTTTTATTTTTAAAGTGGAGTCCGATTACCGTGTTAAAGTATAAGTGTGCTATTATTTCAAATGTTAGGGGGCCTCAGCTTACAAGTAACGAAGAAGTAAAGTGGGGAATAGATACACCAACACAACTGTGGACTGGATGGTGGTAGCTGAGCCGTCTGTAGTTGGGGCCTTAATGGTTGATGTAGCTGTTGTTGTATCTGCTGTTGCTGCTGCTGTTGTAAATTGTGTTGTTGTCGCTTGTGTATTTGTGGCACCTGTAGTTGAAGCATCAGTGCTGGTAGCTGTGACTGAAGGAGTTGTGGCTCCTGAAGTTGAAACATCAGTGCTGCTACCTGAGACAGAAGGAGTTGTGGCTCCTGAAGTTGAAACATCAGTGCTGCTACCTGAGACAGAAGGAGTTGTGGCTCCTGTATATTTTGTTAGATTAGAAGTCACTGGGATCAACTGACTCTGCAACTTCAAGCTAATACAAAAATCTTAAGCTAAGCTCTAAAGCCTGGCATTCCTCTGTTACGATGATTTATGGCATCAATGTTTGTCAATTGCTTTGAATATGGAGCAGCGGGAGGGGGGGTCAGCAATATATATATATATATATATATATATATATATATATATATATATATATATATATATATATATATATATATATATTTATTTATTTATTTATTTATTTATTTATTTATTTATATATATATATATATATATCATTTATTTAAACATTTTCCCAATGCATCACATTTTATGAATAAAAAATACATTCACACTAGTGAAAATCTCTACACAATTATTTTTTTAAAAGTACTCAGCATTTGGAAAGTGTAAACACACCCGTGAATACAGCTCACCAAGATAACATGGCTTATAGATCGCCAGAACTTCATCCTGTTATCTCCCATTTGTTAGTGAATATAATATTCTTTAGATTAATATTTTCAAGGAATAATTTTATATCTATTTAGATTGTAAAATATTGGTTTTTTTTGTAATATCCTCTGAAATAGGCTATATGATTCTGAAAACACCAAATCAGTGCATTAGAACTGAGTCAAAGTGAGATCCAAATGATGACAAACCATTAACACATTGAGACTTAAGGAACATTTGAAAAATATTAAAACATCTACACTTAATACATACGTACTTTTATCGCAGCGTACATAACCCATCCCTGGTACTGAAGTGTCGACCATTTCTTTCACCAACTGAGGTGTACATCTGCCATTGGCATATTCATAACCAATACAGTAGTTATCGTCTATACAGAGCTGTAGACATGCCTGCGGGTATCAACATAACATTGGTGAAACAAATACTACATATATATTTATAGTTCTCTATTTACATAAGCGTACATTGTTCAGGGCATATATTATTTTAAAACCATTGAATCACTTCCTTTTACAGAATATAGTAAAGAGTTTCTGAAAAAAAAAAATATAATGAGGATATTCATCAACTTGCTTTTAAAAATCAACAAAGGTACAAGACACTATAATTTTATTTATGTAATTGTTTACAAAGTATTAATTCGGCTGGCATTAGAAAAAAAATTCTTCTCTTATTGAGGCCATGTCTTACTATACAGGTTGTCGGCCCTTAGTTTGAATTAAGGGAAACAACTTGGCAAAAGAAATTTTGGAGATGCAAAAAGGAGACCGAGAAGAGTAAGAGTGAGTGAACTTGGGAGTTATATTTGGTCTTATTTTACCCAGTTGGAGCACGGCTAGCTATCAACGCATTTTTTTTTTTAATTTTGCGTTTATCAAAGCAAAACATTTAGTAAAAGGTTTATCCCAATAAAACATGCAAACTATTTCACGGATAAGCAAATGATCACCCAAAGGTGATAAATTTCAGACGTCCACTTTTTGGAATGTCTGACTTAGCGCTCTATTCACCAAGTACAGGTGCATGTTTATCGCGTTAACAACAAGAAACCGTAAAACGGTCTTCATCACTACATTATTTAGGATTGTAAAACCGTGCATAATGGTTCACACAAATAATAAGTAGAAAACTGTGACAACTGGTTTATCCTCTTAACTTTACATTGATTTAGAGGAGACGTAAAATATTCAAGTACACAGTTTTGAAAGGTGTTTAAGCCTTAAGATCAAAGACGTACAGCAAGGAATATGTTATATTTTTACAGAGGTAACGCGTTACTGTAACAGATCTCTCCGTCACAGTCACCAATAGCCGTGTTGGCTAAATAAAAGAGTTGCAAGGACTTGACCGTATCCCAAATATTAAGGGGAGGGGGGGGGGCAAATTAAAATAAAGTATTTCCCTTTAAAATGTTTTGGTGGTGAAAAATATTAAAAGTTAGTACTTTTTATCTGCATTAAATATTTATTAAACATTAATTAAATATTAATACAATTTAATTAAATATTAATACAATTTAATTAAATATTCATTAAATATTCATTAAATATTCATTAAATATTCATTAAATATTCATTAAATATTCATTAAAGATTCATTAAATATTGAAAAATGTGAAATGTTGACGTACCTCATGGGTGGTAGTGACAATGTTACCGGCAGTGAAATTTGAGTACACTTGACAGGAATCTTGAAAAGATGTATATAAATCACAAAAGTGTATATATGTTCTAGTTATTTAAAGGATCATATATTTAATCGCTAAAACATTTTATAGTGCCCTCAAATTGTTTTTAATCGAATAGGCAGTTGTCATAAATATATAAAGCATAACACATTTGCAACAATTCTTCAAATAATAAATCTATTTCTTATAAGTAAATCCGATAATGTTCGTTTCATTCTCGACAGGTTTTATCTTTATTTTAATTTACTTGACACAATAATTCAATTGTGGTTTACAAATTGTTTTAGAACATGTGTAATAGTTAATGATGCAGATTAAAAAGCCGGAAAATATTTTCTTTAAACATCTACTTTTGAAAAAAAATGTATCTAACTTTTTTAAAAGATTAACTTACTCAAAGTATTTACGCAGATCACGGCGCTGAAGGGGGAAGTACTTAGAGCAGTACTGGTTAATGTGTTTAACACAGTCAGTGTGCAGCTGTCTTGATAAACGTAGTAGTAGCATGTTGTGTTTTCTACACATGACGTGTAACATTCCTGAGAGTAAACAAAA